GATCTACCATCTATATATCTCCAGGAGATGAGGCCTTCTACGCTGCCGTCGATACTTATCTCATCGATGCCACTTGGGTCCCACAGACAACCTGGAAGAACACCACGGCTGCGGCACAAACGAATACCGCTCAGTATACGACGGGGCTCACTGTCACCGCAGGCTCTGATGTTACCGCCGCTGTTGGAATCGCAGCAGCTTATGATGGCCTTTCGATCACCATGGATGCCTCTGTGAAGACATTCGCTGATTATGAGACGACCGACAGCATGGAAAAAGTTGTCATGTTGGACGTCCCTCCGCTCTCGACGGTGACATTCTATCAAAGGAAGTATCGGTTCAGAGACACGATGTTCTTCATCTTGGATGCGTGGAATGCCGAGTGGAATGCTGGCTCCTGGGGGGGATATGACATCACGAGGAAGGATTGCGCAGTTGAGATTATGAGCGAGGACTATCTGACTACGGTCATCCCGTTGAATGGTACCACTACAGGTACGATGGTGGTGAATACAGTTTCGAGGGCGGAGCAGGAGAGCGCCAGGGTGACGCGGACGCGCGAGAGTCTTACTGAGAGAGCAAAGGAAGCGCTTGACAGTATTGTTGTTTAAGAAATCAGGTAAATTTGGATATTTTATTTCAAACCACGACTAATACATTTGTGCAGAATTATTCAAGTCGACGTTCTCGACTACCTGCTGCCTGTTTCTTTTGTTCTATCCCTTTGTTATGTTTCCACGTCTTCGACTTTTGCGCACAAAACAAAAAAGGTTCTTGTATACTGTACTGTAACTTGCTCTTTGCCGATACGAATGTTCCTGTCGGTACGAATGTTATCCCAATGTTCATCATTTTTGTCCCCCTAAACGTATCAGTGCTGAGACCACCTTTCAGTTGGATCAGCCGTCCCTGTAGCTCAATACTTCAATGTTTTGCAGAGTTCCTAACTCTTCCTCAAGCGACGATTTACGGCGGGAGATCCTTTCTTAGAGGATAAACACTTTCCACGAATTTGAAAAACCAACTTTCTCCATGGATCCCCTTGGCGTGATCTAAGAATGCCCAAGTTTTTCTAGATCCTTCTCGCCATCCCCCGTCTCGACACCCACACTAACCAGGAAATCCCTTGATCGACGGCAATACACACGGTTTCCGGATTGAGCCCACCAGCGACGATTATCGGGAGAGGATACTTGGGTGAGGGTGTTGTTCTCGCAGAAATTGCAATCTCAGAGGCCAACACAGTTTCGGGATTCTCAGCAGACACTTTCTCATCCACGATCCAGCTCGCAAACACCCAATCGATGACCTTGCCACTGCCATTGTACCGCCCTTCAGGTTATCCAAGAGTATGAGTTCGCCACGTATGAGACCTGCCTCGCCTGCTAGACAGGCTCTGTTCCGAGAAGCTGCACCAGATCCAGTTTGCAGCATGTAATTGCAAATTCTCAGCCTGAGGCTGGGTTTGAAAGTTTCCGACTACGAGTGGGAAGAAGGATAAGCTCCCGCTACGCGCTGATCATTGCTCTTCACAAGGCCTAGCGACGACACGGTCACTGTTGCCTAAGGACGCAATTAGGGCAGTCTCCTCCAGTATGCAGATATTCGACGATCATCAACTGAATTTCAGCAGTGGCATTTAGATCACAGGAATTTAGGAGCGAACTTTGTAGAATCGAGGGGGAGGGCATACGAGCGGGTTCATGCAAACAGTGAAGCCCAATAAGCCCGTGGATCAATATGACTCGTCCTTTGACACTGACCGGGACAACTTGAAACAACCAGAAACACAAAACGCTGACGGAATACGGTGCGAATTTCGAGTCTGTTTAATAAAAACAGTTGAGTAGCGGGCCTATTCAAAGGAGGACGTGAGAGATGTTAGAGCCTTGTTTGGGCTTTCTTTATGGCAGTCTAGAACCATTGGAAGAGACCCCGACTGTTTCTGTTCTCAAGTCCAGCATCATGATGGCTTAGCTATACATTCCTTAACGGTGGACAAGCTTAGAAGAGATTCGGCGTTGTTTCTTCCTCCCACTCTACGCATATACCATGTTCAGATTGAATCGCCTGAACATACAGTCCTGGTATGTCCCAGAAATAGCGAGAGTCAGGGGATGAAACTTGTGGGCATCGCGTGGCCCACAAACACCTTAGTTTTGATATCGATATGTGAGGCGTGTTTTCCACATGTTGGATCTACCCTGTTTCGTCGGGTTAACGAGGCATAGAGTAGACATGCAATAGAGGACGGATGGACCCTCCTAGCCGACTGCCCATTGCCAGAATTTGTAGAGCCACGGACTCCGGATAGCACTGCTCCCCCTTTCCTAGTTTTCAATAATACCCCACCGAACCCACCACGCTCCCTATGCCTTCTGAGCATTTATCCATGGTTGCCTGTACACTTGGATTTTCATCGGCTCTGAAGACGTGTGTGGCGGTGAGTATTTGAGGTGGCGCCAAACGAAGAGCCTCGGGTGGGGTCAAAGGATTTGAGTGCGAGCACTGAAGTTTGTGCTAAGGAACGTTGAATGGGTTGATGGTCGGTAGCAATGTGCGGAAATACCGATGTCGTCTATGTCTCTTTCGGCCCGAAACTTTGACTTGCGAAAAAAAAACTTGTTAATAAAAACAAATATATCTGACCTCTCCGACAGTAAAATAACATATGGCAAAATCTCGCATGACGTTCCGTTATCGGACTCACTGGAGCATAAATAAACGACTGTCTGTATGCATATCGGTGATTTTTTATCACGACTACATGTTATCCATTACGATCTCCTTGCATCGATGTGAGTGCCAGCCAACTCCCGTTCCAGCTCTTCGCTGGGATCATCCATGACAGGCGTAGGCGGCCTGTTGGATTGAGGAGGGGATGTAAAGCCAGAGGTCGTTCCCTCTTGACCTTGCATTGGGGAGTTCATGATCTCATCCCGAGACGGAAGTGGAAGACTTTGATATCAGTGAGCGTCTACCGTTCACGTAAGAAAAGAAAATTGAAATATTACCTGTCCTGTCGGCGAATTTGACCCGCGGCCCTAGCCTGTGCGCGAACTTCAACACGGAAGGAATTTACTTCATCAATAATCAATTTCTTCATTCCATCAATACTGTCCTCTTCTTCGAATCCGAAATCGAACTTCTGCAGGCAAAAACCAATATTCAGTCACTAACACACGGAATTACAAAGACAGCATACCGAATCACAAATAGGCTCGTCAGCCGGGTCATGCCATACTTGGAGGTAAGGATGCCTCAGCGCCTCTTCGCAACTTATTCGCTTGGCTGGATCAAAGCACAGCATGCCCGAGAGTAAGTCAATGGCTAGGGGGTTGGCATGAGGGAACAGCGTCGAGAAAGGTATCCGTGGCTTGATAGGAAGAGATCGGATATAGTCTTGGGCCTTCAAAATGTTAAATTATAAGATGCCAATCCTTGGTTGGAAGAAAAAACTTACGCGGGGCGATCCGACACGTCGAAGCGTGTCCTCAGATGGCGTTCCGAGATAATGAAGAATTTGGTTAAGCTGATCAACATAACTAAAAAAAAGGTGAGATCGAGTTTCAGACATGAAACAAGGATCATTACGAACTCCCGACCCTTAAAAATGGGCTTGCCGCCCAAAAGCTCAGCCAAAACACAGCCTACAGACCATACATCAATGGCAGTGGTCTAGTAGGTTGTTATAAATTGAATCAGTGGGAAAAGATGGCACTCACGTAGTTGGCAAAGCTCAGCATAATTTCTGGAGCTCGGTACCACCTGGTCGCTACATATTCAGTCATGAAACCTTGATTTCCAGCGGCTTTCGACGTCCCCCCTCCAGGAGTATAACCTCTAGCAAGCCCGAAGTCGCAAATTTTGAGTTCGCAGTCAGCATTAACCAGGAGGTTTCCGGGTTTGAGATCGCGGTGCAAGACATTGGCCGAATGGATGTATTTGAGCCCGCAGAGGGTCTGGTAAAGGAAAGACTGGAAGTGTGCATCCGTGAGGGGTTGACCAGATCGAATCTGCATGACAATCGATAACGTATTCCGGTGTATGGAGGGCTGATACTCACGATAGCATGTAAATCGGCCTCCATCAACTCTTCCTGGAAATGCGGTAGTCAGAAAAATACTACCATTAGAAACAGCCCACTTACATAGAGATACACTTCATCGAAGTTGCCATTGGGTTGAAATACAATGTCCATATCGTACACGCAGGTGATCTGCATGGGATATAAGCGATGCAAGAATGGTCAGGAATCAGAGGACAGACATTCTTGTGTCCTCGGAAGTGATGCAATAGCCTATATGTATATCGATCAAAACTACAGAAGAAAATGCAGCCAGTAATGCATACCTGATCTCTCTCAGACATCGCTTTGTCAAAATACGCTAAGGGAAGGGCACCAAAGATCAACTAGAGCTGGAACAAGCAGAATAAGGACACACTTTCGTATTTATATTGGTAATTTTCTTAATGGCACAACCCTCGCCTGATCTACGATGTCTGGCAGCGACCACACACCCATAAGCGCCTTGACCGAGTTCCTTGACGAATTGGTACTCGGAATCGACGATGAAAGTGGAGTTGAGGGCGGTAAAAGTGTGTCTGTGCATGGTGGCGGCTGGACAAAGTCTTGGAAGGGTGGGAATATATACAAAGGTGGTGGTACAGGTGAAAGCTCTATATTGACACGACGAGTGATTATATTGACACGACAGTGATTCTATTTGGCATTTGATGAGCACTGCCACTCTGCGATCAGTATCATAGGGGCCAACTGTGTTTGTGGTGGTGTTGAGAGGTGTCGAGATAAATGTCATGAGCGATGCGACACAAAATATTTTGTAATCGTAGCCATTAGATCTTTGAAAATGAATCTCGAGAGAGCTATTGACCAGTAAGATTAAAATTCTCCAGGTAAAGTGATTACTGGTCTGACAATGAAAGGATTCTGAACGCTCGACTGTCGATGCGTCGTCTCGTCTTATAATATATGCATTGAAAGCCTTAAGCGTGAGCTTGAACTGCCTTTCGCCACCATCTGAAGACCGACATGTATAGTCTTTCAAAGTCGAAGTAAGAAAAACCTCTGTGTCATAAAAGCCCGAGAATAAAAGATACAGTAAGCATACCATTTTGAATAATTATATACTGGCGAGTATATATGTATACTCTATAATTTCGACGTCTCTGGAATAAGAATAAGATGCTCCTCAATAAAAGCCAGAGACTCCTCCAATAATTTATCCTTCACGCCGTCTTCTGTCTCATTAGAGAGCTCATGGAATGCACCCTGAAAAGTGCTTGAGCATTCCAAGGTACCTGTGAGATTTGGAACTCACGGGGTATGATACGTATTTCTTATCCTCCGTGCCGACTGCGTCGAAAAATGCCCGACTTGCCTTCGGACTTGTAATCTAAGGCAGTGTTAATTCCATCACCGTAATATGGATTTCCAATCTAGACAAACCCTATCATTCGTCCCATGAAAGATGATCAACTAAATAAAAAAGATGAGACGTTGGCACAACGGGACCGCGAACAATCAGACGTACAGGAAGCTTCTTGGGCCAATGATGGCATCGTGATTTCAGAAGGTCCTCGCCCTATGTCATGATGCAATAATTAGTCGACACTTTATGAACTGTCAAAGTCAAAAATTTACATGATCGAGCATGTCCATCAGACCAAGGAGACTTCCCGAGGGTTTTACGAGAGGATCCTTCACGTAGGCTGCACCGACAGAAGTATCGCGAGACAGTTCCTAAAGGTGGAATCAGCAACTAATGCAGAGGCATCGAGTTGTGAATTGATGGCTCACATCAGGAATAAGATCCGCCGGGAAGAGAACATAGGGAGTGAGGAAGGCCAATTTGCTGAGACTCCAACGCAAGAGCTTATTGACAGGAAACGTCTGCTCAACCATAGGGCTCGTAGCTATGACGCCGGACAAAGACGCGATTGTCGAAACATAAGGAGAAGTCTTTCCTTCAGTAGGGAATCCCAAGGCTTCTCCACCGCCCTATCTCAAAGATTAATTCTGAGCTGCCGCCGAAAGTGAAGACGAGCACGAACCATGGACTGTCCCATGAGGAACACGGGTATTCCGGGAAGCTCCTTCTGCACATGCTGGATAGCCCAAGCAACGTCTTCCATTTCGTTGACCCAGCTTGTTCTGGCATACGAGCTGCCTTTACTCTTGTGCTCCTTGTCCAGTGCCGTCCTCCCAAAGCCCCGCTGGTCATAGGTGAAGACAGAGACATTACGCTCAGCAAATTGGGAGTGCAGCTCGGTATATCGACTGCAATGTTCCCCGAAACCATGAACGAAGACGATGACGGCCCTGGGACTGTCGGCCTTGAAGTAACGAGTGAAAAAATTGGTGGAATGAGGGCCTTGGATCCAGGACTCGGTCAATGTCGACGCCATGGATGAGAAGCGGTAGTGAGATTATTCGTCGTTGCCCCAATCCCCGGTCTTTTGAATATCAGACTCGATTGGGTATCCCGGTACCCCTACCCGTCGTCGTGATAGATTGAATGGAACCTGACACAGCCCAGCTATCAGTGATTCAGCCGACGTGGAATCACTTATCCATGACTTTCTTCAGTTTTTCCTGGAATATTGTCTTGTTTCGCGATAGTACAGAAGGAGGCAAGTGCAAAGTTGCTTAGTCACTGACATACACGTCATGAGCAGAAGGTATTAAATAAGTCAATGGAATTTTATCTGAAGAGCTTCGTATGATATCCATCCAAGGTAATAAAGAGTCAAAAAGTCCAAGAAATCTAGTAGCCACCAGCACCAGGAGCAGCGTCACCCTCCCTCCTCAATCTCAGCAGAACTTCCTTGAACCGTGTCAAATCCGTCGTTCCAGGCCCAGCCCTTGCAATGGTCTTGCTTTGCGAGTTTTGAAGTTCAATAATATCACAGATACGGTCCCAAGTCGTACCCTTGGACAGCGACTCGGTCAAAGACTGGCGATACTCCTGCTCTTGCTCCCTATGACCAATAATTAGAATACAAATGTTCTTGGTAGGTTTTTCACTCACTTGTTCTCCGCAATAGTATCCTCCTTCTTTGCGTTGTACTTTTCGTAAAATTCATCGATGGCTCTCTCTGCTCGACTGATAATCTCCTGACGGCGGGCCTTGGAAGCTTCGTCACGAGCCGCGATCTCTTCAGCTTGACGCGCACGCCATTCCCTATAAAGAGGTCAGCAAGAGAATGCAGTGCATAACCAGACATCTCCTACTTGATCACTTCCGGTTCGTCTTCCTCGATGGTTTGGGTGAGGATAGGTGTTGAGGAGAATACAGACGGCTGTGGACGGGGCGCAAACGTTGCTCCGAATGTCGGCGTTTGTTGCAGAGGTGGAGAAGTCTATTGAGCAAAGTCAGTTATTGTGTTTTTAAATGCAAGTTATTCAACGCACTGGGCCAACGTCAATGTCAGGGAACTCGCTCTCAAACTTTTCAATGTCTTCGTCACCAGTGACCTTTACTGGCGTCTCCTTTGCAAAAATGGGAGGCGGGCTATTGAAGTCGTCGAAAGAGAAACCAGAGTTTCCTGCTGGGAGTGCAGGAGCCAACTGTGCTGATACAGGGATGTCGCCCTCGCCGTCCAGGGAAATGTCAGGGAAGGCAGATGCGGCACGGTCGAAGTCGATATCATCATTGGGAGCTGTACATTGCATTAGAAAACAGCATAATTCGAGGAGAGGTGCTTACAGGAAAACAAGTCGGCCATGGTTGTCGACGTTGAAGGAAATGTGGAAGGCCGTGGGAAACATAGGCTTGCACATGCCGCTCAATGTACCGGGCCTGCGCGTTCCTCTACAATTGCTCTGGTATCCCCGGGTCATAGTACCTTCTCTTATCGTGAAAGGCGCGCCCTTTTTCGCTATCTATCCTTCTAATGTTGAGATATTTGTCGCAGAAAAGACATACGCCAGCTTGACTTTCTGGCTCTAAAACGGGCTGGATACCGCGGCGCTATATTCGACAAAGATAACTGCCTTGTAAATTTTATTATCTTCTATTCTCGTATATATTTCTTACACCTTTTGTAGACCCTCCCTCACAAAGATGAGCTAGTGCCCGAGTTGAAGGTGTGTACCTAAACAACATCCGTTGGTCTCCTTTCCCACTCCATTTCCCCTAGACTGCCTGGCAAGAATGTCGGGAGACTTTTGGCGAAAGAAATGTTATTGTTGTCAGTAACTCAGCTGGAACCCATCTGGACGCAGGCGGGATACAGGTTTGCCGCACACTGAACTCACTCGTTTCTGGATTAACATTACAATGATTGGCAGGCTGAATCGGTGTCTTATCACCTGAATGTGCCAGTTCTGATTCACACAACAATGAAGCCCTCTTATTCATGTATTGCTGCGATCCGGAAATACTACTCCTCGCTGCCCATCCCAGTCGAAGACAAAGAGTTGATCATAGTCGGAGATCGGTTATTCACTGATGTTGTCCTTGCTAATCGCATTCGATCCTGGAAGGGATGGCGGTCATTTCTGGGACTGGATCGTGAACCCCCTTCTGCCAAGGGTGGACCGCTTGCTGTATGGACTACAGGAGTTTGGCAGAAGGAAGCGACAATTTTGAGATGGTCGGAGAAACAGATGTTGGCGCTGGTTCAGCGGTGGTCTCGCCCTGGAGTGGAGACACAATTAGACGTAGGCTCATTTGTTCGAAAGCCTTCCCAAAAGGAAAGCACAACGCAGTCGGAAAATCGACTTGAGAACCTATTCAAAAGATTTGTGCAGAGGTAGGCATTCTCGTTTCGTTTTTGAGATCGCTGACCACCATGTGTATATATAGGAGGACTTGATCTTTGTAGCGCTGTGTTATGTACGCGTATATTCCATCATCATCCGTGCATTGTCGCTCGTTTCAATGGCCCAAACAAAGTCTATACAAAGCATTCCTTGAATCATCCGAGCCGTTACGTGCGTGCGTGTCTTGTTCTTTGTTCTTGTGCTCTTGTTTCCGGGTCCTTATTGAGAAAGGTCTCCTAATTTACTTCGTCATTCTGGTTTTCCTTTTTCGTAATGCAATGTGGGGGTCAAAATTACATCTACTTGCTTATATAAGTACCTTTTCGTTTCTATAATCTTCAATTCCTCCAGTGATATATTCTGAAAATTGCAGGCGGGACCTGCTTTTCCCGAGTGAGCTTTGATAGCGCTCCGAATATTCTTCCACGCCCAATTAGAATCGTGAGTTTTCTTTTACACCTCCTAAATGGCGACTGCCCAGCTCATAACAGCTTCTTCAGGCATTTCTTACGTTCACTTCATGTACTACGTCAAAACAAGGACTCGTTTCTATTGTTCGTCGTTCATATTCATGCGTACTTTCGCTTGCCTCACTAATATAAACTACAGCCGACAGCTCACTCCCCACTCCATGTCTATCGTTATCTGACAGCAGAGGACATCGTCCAAAGTCTGGGGTCCTTGAAACAGCCATCAAAGCTCCGCATAGTCAACAACCTCTGGCTACAACCCCACAGCCCGATTTTCGCACTTATGGACGAGGATGTGCAGGTTCTCGACATTCCACAGTCAAGCCCACCAAAAGCGAGCTCGATACGAAGGAAAAGTCCAAATTTCCAGGCTTCACGTTTCCAGCTAAGTGGCGGCGTAAAGTCTCCACTTCAGAGCCCATCGGTCTCGGCTTTTATGACATGCCCTGGTGTGGCCCATCTCCGTCACCTCAATCTTCTCTGTCGCCCTCGCCCTCCTCTCCTGCAGCACCTATTCGCTGGCCTTTCGGCAAGAGTACCATGTTTGCGCAGCGAAATCTATTTCTAGCCAGCATCTGGAAGAAGAATTTGAAGAGGATGGGGACATCCAATGCTAATTCATTTATTTCTGTTACTCGTTCAACGTTGTCATCGTCAGCGTCTTCACTTGTTTCCCTATCGCGTCACGAAGCAGGTGATGATTCCGCGAACGAGATGTACGCCGAATCTTTTGAATTCTGTTTGGAACCCCCTGGAAACCCACCTTTTGTGTCCTACACTGTAGAGAGAGTGGTTATTTGTCGGGAGGCCGGTGCAGCATCTGAAGATACAAGTTTGGAAAATGAGTCGCCTACAACTCAGATTACGATTGTTGGGATGGATGGTGAATGCGATGTGTTGGATGCTATGAGAAAATTGCGTATTAGGTGACGATGTATGCTGTAGAAAGGAATTTCAGTCGGCCCGACCCCCCGGGGGTGGGGGAGTATGTGGTCATATTTGTCTGTGACACTCAATGTAGCTACAGTGGTACGATGAGGCGGTTCAGACGTCCAGACGTTTCTTCTATCATAACTAGTACGCTCAATGTAAATCCTCCCTCTTCCGATCTCCACCATGGATATGTCGTCGATCAGGCGAAATATCAAGAATCCTACACACGACGTTTTCGGCCGCTGGTGAGCTCACTTCTGTGGCCAGTATTCCATCCTTGGCTGACGGGCTTGGGAGTCAAAATACTGGCAGACAGGTACAGGACAGCATCCTCTACGAGTACTAGCAAACCACGAGGGAGCACAGGCGATGGAGAAATTTCGTCTCTCCGATCTTGCCCAACGGGCACGGAACAAAACAGATACAGCACTTTACACCTGTGACGCCCACGAGCACCTTGGGAATATGCACAGGTACAATGCTGCTGCTGCCCATTGTATCTTTACCGGTGCGTCTACCGACACTTCTTTCCTTTCGTCTTCCAAACTTTGCCACAGACAACAACAAGAAGGTAACCCTGTTTCAACTATACCGAGCGACTGTATTGAAGACAACGTAGACTGTCCCATTTTCTCATGATCTACACTGTCTCCACGCACAAGAGGCCACTTTTTTTGCAGAGCGCATCATCACAGACGCGATAGCGCACCGTGACCCGCACGTATGGCTTATATTTGGTCTCAATCTTTACTTCGTCGGGTCTTCTTCATCTGACGAAATTCCTCCAGGACGTGACTCTCACGTCAGGGTTGGGATCAAGGATAGATCTGTGATGGCTGCGATAGAGCAAGTGCTGCAAAGGTAATGCCCTGTGCATTCCCTGTTCTGCTACGGCTAATGAAAACTTTCAGACGTAAGCTGAAGTGGGAGCTAGGCGATGCTAGATATAAAGTCATACTGGATAATCCATCGACCTCTCCTCCTGAAGAAGTCAACAGCACGAGCAGAAATAAGTCCCGTGCATCGAATTTGAACGGCCCTAGCTCAACTATCCCATCGAAAACCCCACCTACTCCTGCGACAGCTTAGTCTGCACAAGTATCTTCGGAAGTAACATCTATTTTCTTCTCCTCGTTCTTCGCGTATTGACGATAAAGGACAGACGAAAGTTGTCGGACGCGTTCCAGGAGCTGGAGAAGCAATTGGCTGCATCTAGTGATGAGGACCTGGGTGAGACGAGGAGAAAACGGGCCCGAAAATAACGGGAATTGCTTACAGGTCCTGCTATTTAGATAGTCACGGGAAAACCCTAGATGCATCTATTGCGTCTTCGAATTTTCCACAGCCGCCAGCGACGCATAATAGCCCTCTATTATAGTCAGTTGGCGACCTTATTTCAGCAAAATGGTCAGATATAAGTTGGACAGTCACCTCATTAAAAGATTGTTTATAGACATTGCACTCATGAGTTTTATTCCAGACCCCAGAGCGCGCCGCATCTTCGCCTCATCTTCTCCCATAGGGATAGCGATGTTGAGCATAGTTTCGCACGCTTTCCGAGCACCTACGGCATTGCCTATCTCCACACTATCAGTGTCTCTGCCGTCAGGAAGCAGATTGTCCCAATGATTGGATTCATCATCATCTCCGTAGACGCACTCGTTTGAAGCACATCAAACACGAAGCCGACTGACCGACAGCACTTCTGCTTGGAATCCAAATCTGCAGAGCAATAAACGCGAAAAATCTTGATCACCGCACAGTGGAGAATTGCACTAGCAAGGCGGAGACTAGGATGAGCATTTCGAATACGAGACTGATCTCATCCATGTCTATATATGCAGAGGTGAACTAATCAGTGCTGTGGCTCGCCGGTGATATAATGAACGAACATACTGGGCTGCCATCTGTTTGCTAAGCACACGGTGCATTGCAGCAATATCATGGCCTTGGTGAAGAGAACGTTGGAAGACGGCGAAGTGAAGTTTGTAGATTCGCTGGTTGCCGTGAATAGGCTCTGGGTAGTATGCTCGCTCGCACCAGGAAGCATGCCCTGGATAGCCATCAACCATGAAAGGGCCAGTTATATCAGAAATAAGGCTCAATGTTATATTTAACGCAACATTTCGTACTCTTCCGTACTCAAAAGGCCACGGCGTATCAATTTCGCAATCGATAGGTTCAAACGCTCCGTAATTTCCCTGATGCTGCAGCCACCATGGGGCACCAGTGAATGAGAATCCAGCCTAGGAAGCCCAAATACAGGGGACCTATTCCTTTATCATGGCCATTGCAATGACATATACACATTGTGTTTCCATCCTTAGTATACCGAGCTAAGGGTTGGGTTCAATACTTTGCATCGTTCCATCCACTATCGTATGCATTATCATTATAGAGTGCATAATGTAAGTCTACTTGCATGTACTTATGTCAGCTTCTTGGAAGCGCTAAACATGATACAACCAAAAAAATCCAAGAGCCGATAGAGGACGGTGGTCAACTTGGATTTGCAGATTCGTTGACATCGCCCGGTCGGTGGAGACTGTGCAGCGACTCGTCTTCTTCCTCTAAATGTGACCCAGGACGCTGTCGAAGATCAAATGTGTCACCATTGATACTTTTCTGCTCGGCTACTGCATCATCATCGTTTTCAATAACAGCTGCATCACTAGCACTATCCTGGTCCTTATCATCGTCATCTCCATCGTTGTTGGAGAACTCCATAGGGAACATGACAGCACGATCAATGGCAACAGGAAGGCCTCGGTGCCTGCCACGAAGCATCACGAAGCAAACAATGAGCTTTGACAATGTCCGGAAGGAGCCTGAGAACGAATAATTTGCCTGTGAGAGACGATAAGGGCATATGAAGTACGTCAAACTGAAGAGAACATACGTAGGGAAGGCCCAAGCTCAATCCGACAGTTCCGTACGCAGAGACAAGCTCGAAAACTATTGAGGGTAAGTTCAAAGGCCTTGTTTCTGCGACTGAGTGCACACTCACCAATAGTAAAAATATTGAAATAACTCATCGTGGCGGTGTTATCGAGTTCAGGGCGCTACACAGATGTGTGAACAGCCGGAGAGAATAAGGGGATGCGGACATACCTCAATAATGCATACTAAGAACAACGCTAACCCTAGCCACCACATATCGAAAGCCAGCTGCTTTCGCGCATGCATAGTCAAATAACGACTCCAAACAACGACTCGAGGCCCGGTAGGTTCAAATTCCGACTCGGTTTCTGACTCCTCGGATTCACGATAGATACCTAAAGATTGCTCCTCATATACATTCGTCGAACGGACACTGGTAAACAATGAGAATTCGTCCTTGGCCCTATGTTAGAAACTAACCTCATCGCGATGGGGTCTAAATAGATTAAGCAAGAACACACAAAACGACGAGTGAATACGCTTACAGACGCTGACATACATCATCACGACATAGAGCACTCTGTGATTTAGGGGTTGGATTTTGGACTGGTTGACGAGTAAATGTGAAATCTCACTTAACAGCTGGAGCAAGGGCCGACAGTGTTACCGTAGCGAAGCCCGCAGCTCGGACGGCAATTGCTTGTAGCAACCCTATGACGAATCGAGTGCCCAAGGGGATGACTTCAATCGCAGGGGTCCCAATATCCAACACCATGAAGAAGAACCAATCCGTAAAGCTGTCCAGCAGTCAGTATCAGCATGGCAAAGAAGAACGGACGTACTTCAGGCAAATTACTACAGTCAGAAGAAACCAGGTCTGATGAGAAGGAAATAAATAGATAAAACATCGTCTAGGATGATCAAGTAGAAAGTGTAAGGTTTCGTTTGCTCGTGAGTTTTCAGGTACAATTTTCGTTAGCATCCATCTAAATATTGTCAAAACAGAACGAGAAAGCGAGAAGAGAACTTACATCGCAAACCGTAAACTGAGTGCCGACATTGAGTATGTTTATTAGGCGGCTAGACGGAGGAAGACTCACAAGATGGGCTAGTGGGTATAGGCAGTCAGTACATTCCAGGTTAAACAAATAGAGGTAGACCTACAAAAGCAGTATTTCCGGCTAAAATTAAGAAGATCATGGCAAATATCATCAAGTACGCTTCCTGGAACGGGACCATCGACTGGTCCACCAATGACATGCCCGTGTTGGTATAGGCAGATACCACCTGGAAGAGTGAAAACCTTAGAACTCCGTGAGCCAATGATGCTATATTTCTGACGCTCAGTTGGACATACCATACCGGCGATAATGAACGAAGCAATGAGGGAGTGTTGAAATCGGAACTCCACCTGGACATAGATATGTACGGAGAAATCATGACAAACGCTGTCAGCTGGATGAGTATATGATACTATTCCAAAGGGTAAGCGGGACGTCTAACAGAAGCAGAAGGGGACATACCCCGGCAACAATCCAAAGCAAGGCATTCAGCGCACGGTACTCCACGCCGCCGAGCTCTTCGATCTGATTACTAGTCAAGTATGGGAAAGATGAATTGTGTCCCACAACGGCGTCAAAAGAAATGTATGGAACAGTCTTCGCAGATGTTAGAGTCGCTCTCCGTTGAGACGCAATTGTGGTTGAAGCTGGTACGGTCAATGTTCTCGTCAGCCTCCGCTTGAACTTGGGAAAGAATCGACTGATCAAGCTGCCCAGAATTTCGTGCGGCATGGGAAATCCGCCCAAACCACTGTGCCTCGTCGGCGCTCGGCTGGCCCTGTGCATGTGGGTTGTCGTATGGGTGGGAATCGACAAATGAGGCTGTATAGGTGTCCTGTGTGGCCCTGCAAAAAAAAAGTCAGTCTAACTATGGCTGAATGCGTCCATGGATCTCGAACATGATTCGCAGCATACGGCCCATCGGAAAGAAGGATAGTACCGTACATTCCGGATCATTCCAAGAGCTCTAGAGAGCAGAAAAAACAAGAACTTACTGTGATTCTCCGCAGACGCCGTGGCATCAACATCAAGTTCCGAAGTTTGAGTTCTTTCTGTTCTCATTCTCCGATTTGGTTGCTTTGGCAATGAGAACTCCACAGTTTGTGTACGCGGAAATTTCCCCATGGAACCTATAGCCATCGTTTCTGACCTGTGCATGGGAGCTGCAAATATATCAGTCTTTTTGATATTTTGACAAGAGGTAACAGGGAAATATTCCACATGGTGGAATTTCTCGGACCGGGGCGCTGTTACGGCTAGGACGAGCCATGTAAAAAACAACGTGGGCATTATCAGAACAACGGGCGACAGTGTAATCATGCCGTTGTGATCTTGGCACTGACAAGACAAAAACTCACCGTTCTTGAGTGAATTCTGTCTCGAAGGCGTCCCAGGGTCTGATAGTCGTCGTACCAATCTAAGAAGGATATATTAGGAATTCAAAAGCTAAGGGCAGACTCGCTTACCTCTTCATTAAGGGACCCTTTGTGATACGTGGAGATTGCGGAGGCCGTTCAGGCGAGGGCGACGCGAAAGAAAGATGCCGAGGAACGTCCTGGTTAGATTGTACAGTGCTAAATCTTTGCAGCGGTATCGTCCTGCCTTCAGATATCCACCCGTTCGGATCCACACGCTTCGGAGCGTCGTCCATGCGTCTGATCATGTCTGTTCGCAGCTTCTTGCGAATAATGCAGCTTCGTCGCTCTGTCTCGGCCCCCTTGTCTCTTCCAACCTCTGTCACAGTCACCGTTTTGTTCCGCGAGGTGAAAATACGGCGGAACCAGGGTACATACTTTTCCTCGGCGTCAATGGGGGCGATATGAACGGCGCTGGTCTCTGCGATGATGCGTCGAAACTTTTTGGCAAAGTAGCGTCTAAAGGCGTGTGAGTCTAGAAGTGAGAATTGGCGACGGATCTCACCTTCGGATGTAAACCATGACCCAGGACACGAGAACCTGGAGCGTGTCAGCAGTGGATCCATAGATGTGGAGGAAGGAACGGAAACGTACTGGATTGCCTAGACACATCTGAATGAAAAGTATAACCTGCTGCCATGGAGTGAGACTACTGAGATCCACGGTAGACAAACCGCAGACGGTCATCGCACTGACGCAGTTGAACAGAGAATCGATGTAGGATATATGGTACTGTCCATTGCTCGCATAAAATATTCCAGAAAAGATCAGGGGTGTGAAAGCGCTGCACGAACAGGTAAGTGATGGCAAGTACAATGCGAGACAGACCGACTGACAAGAACAGTAGATGAACACGAAAGAAATTGAGATGTCTTTTGATATGTTTCCAGCTCACGCCCGACGCCAAAGATGAACGAATCGAGGGCATGAAAAATGAGAGCCTGAGGTTGCACAGGGGCTTGAGGTTATTGATGTTCGAGCAGGAAAGGGGAATGCAGTCCAATAAGGATAACAAGCAAAGGCTCGAGCGGCCCCAAGAAGAAAAAGGGAACCAGATCGCAGTCGACCCAAATAGTTATTTATCTAACAGCAAACCGGTAAACCCGCTTACGGAAAATTCCCACGATTGATGATCATGACGCGATGCGGTGCAAGGAACTCTCCGGTTACTAAGTAAATGATGCAGAAAAAATGAAACTCTTCTGCTCGGTAGTATGCTACCGTTGCTACGTACATGTGCAGGCAAAACAGAAATAAGTAGGTACCGAAAGATGCACTGAAAGCATCGTAGAATAAACAATATGCCAAAGTATGAGAACAATGCAGAAAGAGAAAACATGGGATAACGGATACAGTACGATGCAAGACGAAATCACAGTCTAAGATAAAAGCCCAAGAAGTTTGGCACTGTCCGTCTTCGAGGCTAAGCGTGTCCGTTGCTCATCATCAAAGGCGGGGCCCTTCATCATTATTGCCATCAGGTTGAAGGCCATCGGTGCATCAATAGCAATGTCCTCCAGGAACTCGAGCACTGCGGCGAATCCGCTTTCAAAATCAGCAATTGTACAGAGATTCTTGGCCGAGGCACGTGAGAATAGCTGCGCCACTAGCTGCGCATCTGTCTCCTTCGACTCCACAGCAAATGAAATCAGTTTGTCAACCAAGAGAGGGTGGCGTTTAGCAGGAAGTTGCGTGAAATAAACTTCTGCTTCATCGAGATTCCGAACGGCGCCAAACTCCTTGATATCCTCCTCTATCTTCTTCTTGGCGTCTTGGTTGTTTATCTCAACAGGTTCAGGTTCAGCGATTACTTCTTCGTCTGAGCTAGCCTCGGACTCTGCGGTCGTCAGCGCGTGTTCTTGACCCTCAACTGGCTTCGACCGAGGCGCAAGAATAAGGCGCTTACGCTGGAACGTTTCTAGTAAATCAAATCAGATCGACAGCTCCACGGAAGAGCTGGAAATTTTTACCTTTGGGTATGGCACTTTCCGCAGAATCAAGCATAGAAAACATGTTCTGTGAAGAAGAATTCGTCCGTTGGACAGACTCTCGCTTGTCCTTCTTTCCGGCGTATATGCTGCTTTGAGGACCAAAAGTAAGAGGTGCGCCTTTGTTACTAATCTGACCAAACTTGGACAGATCGCCGGCCTTGGAAGGAGGTCGTGGGGCAGAGTTACCTCCAGCGACTGCCCAGCCATCGGCGCCAACTTGTGGAAATTCGCCTCGTTCTCCACCCCGTCGGGATCCGCCGCGAGAGATTGACATTTGACGTTGATATGATTCCTTCTCTTGGGCGGCTTTCTCCTTCGCAGCCTTTGAAACGGGATGAGACGGCAATATCCGGAATGAAAGGGAAAAAAAAAAGCACTTACTGCTTCGTGGATCTGAGCGATCGTGGTAGGCGCAGCAACAGCATTGCGGCTGATCCATTTCCGCTCACGCAGCTCGAGGACATCCTAGACAGAGTTAGTTAGGAGAGTAACTCACCGACAGTGTAAAACGTACCTGCAACATGAACTGCATACGCGAGCTAACATTAGTGCTCTTCGTAAGTTCCTTCATGCGCGAGAAGTACACATCCATATGAGCGCGGGCCTTTGTTGTATCCAACAATTGCCCGACAGTAGTCAAAAGTTTGCAGAGGGATTCGATCTCCTCTTCCTCGGGATTTTCGACATTTCCAAGCAACTTCTTGACACACTCGTGCATGATACGCTCCGTCAACATCTGCAGTTTGAACAATTCACCAATGAATTTAATCAAACCGAGACCTTGACGTTTCGCTTTCTGTGCAGCGTAATACTCTTCAGAATACAGCGCGACCTCCTCCTCGCCATCCCCTTTCTTCTGGGCAGCAGCTTTGACAGCTTCATCCTCGATGGCCTTGGAAGCTGCAGCTGCAGCCGCAGCTTCCTTCGCCACCCAGCCTCGCTCGAAATCTTCCTGACACCTGTTGAGAAGGTATTTCCGGAACAGTTGCCCGCCAGCGATGGGTTTGCCCTCAGGATTCTTGATGCTATCATCCTGGACCTTTGCACTGATTTGCTCCATCATTTTCCGACAGAGACGAGCATACATCTCGGACCATGTAGCCTCATCAGTGGCTTTCTCAAAGACAAGCCTGATGACCTGGATGAGAGTTCGGCCGTCTTTCTCCTTTTCGGATTTGTTCGCCCATGCGATGATCTGATCGGAGATGGAGTCGAATTTCTCCATTGTAAGTTTGTTGAGAAGACCCTTGACCTTACGGTCAACGAGATCGGGAGAGTCCGGACCGTTTGAACTAAGCACACGCCTGTCCCAGCGATTGGCAGTTTGCTGCAATGGCGCAACAGGCTCGAGCATCGCTTGAGCCAGAGCTGCTGCAGGTCCATGACCACCCATGCCGTGCCCGTGCTGAGTTCCAGGACCAGTCTGAACTCTATTGCTGTCGTTGCGCTTCTCGCCACGCTTGCTCCGAGTTCGGTTGCTGCCCATGGGGGCACCACCCGGGCCACCTTGGCTTGCCGTTCTTTGCATTTGAGAAGGCCGGCCGCCAAATGGCATAGACGTCGCACCACTAACAGATGTAGCACGCATGTTGTTGGATATATTGAATCGGTCGTCGCTGTTAAGCTTGGACCCGCCGATGGTTGCAAAGTTGCCCATGCCGCCCATGCTGAACGTGCTGCTGGATCCTCCTTTACCAAAGGAGGATGCTGGGTTGAATCCAAGCCCAGTGGAGTTCTGGCGCTGAGGTGGAACAGCACCAGAGCCCTGGCGATGTCGCCCGGATCCACCGCGACTCATGGGATAGGAACTCTGGTCTGACGGCTCAAGACCGATAGCATCGAGGGCAGGAAGTGAGTCTGGCTTCTCCTTACATATCGACATGAATTGCAGAAGGAAGTCTCGGTCGTATCTGATATCAATGTCAGCATATGCTTGTAGACGTTGAACAATGATAGCACACCTGAATTTCCCATCCTTAGCATTTATGTTGAGCTCAACTCTAGGACTCTTGATTCCCTCGGGGTAAGGGACGCGGCCTAAGTCATCGATGTTACGAGCGGTAGCAAGAGCAGAAGGAAGCGGTGCGGGAATGTTGGCCTTGGTGGTAGAGAGATCGAGGGGGCCAGGGCGACGTCGGGGAAGCTCAGACGGGGGAGACGTGGTATTGATTCGGAGATCCCTCTCCTTGGCCTTGTCCTTGCTTGTTGCTGCGGTATCAGCGCTGGAAAGTTCTTCTATGACCTCACCTTCCTCAGGCTTGGCAGCAGCGGCCTCAGCTTCAGCTTTAGCTTTAGCCTTGGTGGCTTCTTCCTCTGCGATACGGGCGCGTTCCTTCTCTTCCTCTTCCAGGCGTAACCGTTCCTTCTCTTTCTCGTCCTGTTCTTGCTGCAACCGCTTCCTCTCAGCCTCTTCCTCCTCCTTCTTTCGCTGTTCCTCCTCTAGCCGGAGACGCTCTTTCTCCTTTTCCCTCTCCTCTTCCTCCTTCTTCAAGCGCTCCTTCTCAATAGCCTCTTCTTCCAGCCTCTTCTTCTCAGCCGCTTCTCGTTCCTGTTTCTCTTTGGCCGCTTTCGCCTCTCGCTCCATTTTCTCCTTCGCTTCCTTCGCTTCCTTCTCCAATCTCTCCTTCTCATCTTTTTCCTTGCGCTCTTGCTCTTCCTTCTCTTTCTTCTCCTTCTCCTCCTTCTCCTCCTTCTCCCTACGCTCGTTCTCCTCGTTCTCCTTCTTTGCCTTGGAATCTGCCTCTGCCTTGGCTTTGGCTTGCTGCTCACTCGCTAAGCGTTTCGACCGCTCCTCTTCGGACTCCATACGTATAACAGACCGCCGATTAGGACTACCGTGCGCCGACGATACGACCGGCGGAAGCGCAGTGCCAGGCAGAGCAGGACTGAGTTTCTGATTCTTAAGCTTTTCCAAGTTAATTTCCATCCCGTCTGCATTTTTAAGCGAAACCCGAGCACTTGGCCGTTGACTGGGCACAAACGTGTTAGCGTTGGTGTTTAATCGACCAGTACCGGGCATCGAGGCGGAGGAGGGAGTAGGAGGCGGCGACGATAAACCACCGATACTCCCAGACGAAGAATGTGACATTGTGGGGGGGAGATGAGGAGAATGTGTGGCCGGTACTGCATGTGCGGGAGTCGGGGTTCCAGGTCCTTGAAGAGGCGGAGGATGATTACGAGGAGAAACAGGGATCCCATTATGGGGAGGGACATGCCCACTGGGAGGGGGCGGGTGATGCTGGGGTTGTTGAGGCGGCATCTGATGTTGCTGGGGAATATACCAGTTATACATGTATGACTGGTCACCCATATACTTGAAAAAAATTATGAAGACCGCGATAAGATGGCAGAGCATTGCACTTACATAGTAATTAGGAGCCCATGTCATTGGGGCTTGCATTGGCGGAGGAAGATTTGCAGGAGGAGGATGGGGTGTCATACGAGGACTACTAAGGCCCCCAGACATCTGAGGAGCCCCTGGCCCGGTTGGCCCGCTCGGTATACGGGGGGCATTGCCATTAGGGACCTGCCGTTGATACGGGGGGGACCTTGGACCAGAACCAGTAGCACTACTATTAGGACCTGCATTGGGTTGCTGAGGTCGCATGCCATTTTGGGGAACGAAGGAAGGATACGGCGGATGAGACGATGAAGGTATCGAGGGCGGTTGTGATGAAGGCGGGAGATTTGAAGGTCTGATATTAGGAGATGAGGTATCTGAGGAGGCTTGGGACGGGGGCGCCGACGATGGATTCTGGAACAACTTAGTAATGTCCTGTTTACGTGGCTTGTGTGGTAGATTAGAGGTATTTGACGAAGATCCTGGCTTCGCAATGGATACAGACGATTTGCCGTTTACCTGGCTGACCGTCGCAGGAACAGTTCCAAACGTTTTGACACCCTCTGATTTTATCGGGGGTGTGGCAGCGGGTGACGACGACATTGGCGCCGAAACATCATCTATAGATCCGAAGGACACTGCGGGTCCTAGCGACACACATTTTAGCTGTGCAAGAGAAGGGGCGGAATAGCATTCACCTTGCTTTGCAGCTCCTACGTTATTCCGAGGAATGCTCACTCCATCTTTTATGTGTATGCCCTGACCAAGAGTACTAGGACGTCTTGAATGCGTTGCATGAACGGGTGTATTCTGAGGAGCTGGAGATTGAGATCGGGACGAAGACGCGGTCTGCGGTGGGCCTCTTGACCAAGCTGACTGAGATGGTAGCTGGGCAGGGATCTTTGGTACTGTTGCAGTTGCGGATTTGCTCATTCTACAGGCACAGAAAGCGATATCAGAAAAGAAGAGAACAAAAACAAAAAAAAAATACCAACGAATTTTGGAATATGAGATGAGTTGGGATGATTTGGAGTGACTGATTTGGGTGTCGAGTAAAGGTCTGTCTCCTGTGGGTCGGTCGTCAAAAATGACCTGCCAGCAGGCGAGAAAGCAGCTGTAAGATGAGTTAAAGAGTCTAAGTGAGACTAAGGAAAGTCTTCGGATGCTAGAGGCAGCGATCCGGGAGTCAAAGTCTGTCCTGTAGGCAAGGACGAGGGACGAAGACAAGGGCGATCTGTCCGTTGGTCACTCAAAAATTAGGCAGACCCCGGTCACCACCTCTTCTCAGGTTAGGGTTTTGCCTGATTCGGGTATTATCGGTCCCGTCGCCGCCAATGGAGTCATTGACTCTGTTACCATTTGGCTACCAGTCGTCGTATTAAATTGCATACAATTTCGTCTACAAGCGAGCTAAAGTTGCCAAAAGACGCATATTTTCTGTTTCTTCGAGGCGCGTCGTGGTAACCAAACGCCGCAGCCTGACTTTCTTCGCTTCATATAACAAAGTTCATTAAACAGAACACGGTGACAGGAAATCCGGGAACCTGAGGTAATTCCATGTGAACTCTGCGACGATGTCAGTTGAAACAAACTGCTTAGCCCCGATCAATACCCCGTAAAAATTGCTATCCACCAAAGAAATATATAAGTAGTACTGTACACAGGCTATTGCCAACAGGACGCATATCACCCACTATCGGAACCGCTCCCACCACTGTAGAGAACCGGATCATCTCCCTTCATATCCAGGTACAAACTCCTTTCAAGCCCTGATTCTGCAGACGCACTATTAGTCCCCAACACTCCATTCCTGGGGGCTGCAACAAAGGAAGAATCAGTCGCGGTATTACCCCCGCGGTGGCGCTTCAACGCAAAATGCGGTGATGTTTCGACAGACAACTTTGTCTGCTCATTTAAGTTGTTGGATGTTAGTCCCAAACTGGTCATAACGATTATCATCGTAGGCACTATAGCCTACGAAAATCAGAATAATGAGCAACACAACAAGGGAATAGAGAAACGATACTAACCGTCAACTGAGCTATAGGGTCGTATATGATATAAAAGGCGTTGGTATTTAAAAAGTATAAAGTGATCTCGATGATCAGTGCTGACGAGTAGATCGCACCCGACTCGACGACGAGTGTGAGCACTCTGAGGTATCTGAAGGAAGACGGAAAAGTAAGCTGTCTTCCGAGATGCCTGTTTGCGACATTTAATTGAAATTGGGAACAATAAAGAGGCTCGCTTACCATATTCTAAAGGCAATTAGCGATGTCGCGACAACGTTGGTCACGAGCGACAGTGAAAAAAGAGACCCGTTCCACCTTTGCAAATTCGGACCAAAGGCGCTGTGCGTCGTCTTTGCCTGCGCAAAGATAACTGTCTGGCCAAAGCCACAGACTGAGGCAAGGTTAGCGAAACAGCATCCGAGCAGTCAATATACTGCTTACCAGCCGAAGCTATGATCAGAAGGATAGGAAGAATGCAAACGATCCAGTCTCTACCCCATACGTGATAGCATCTCCAGACCTTGAACAATCTTGAGCGAATGTCGGGGTTAGTTATTATAGAGAGGTATCACTTACGACAATGCTGTCGCCCAGTATGGAATTTATGGTATGTATGCAAACTTTTGCAACGTTTGCGGGTATCGAAACATCAGAGAAGAATGCTCCGGGTCCTCCTGGTAGATCGCGACGATATATGAAGCCTTCAACCAGACGGTAAAAACCCAAGGACACGTGGACTGTCGAGAAGCAGAACATGGCTACTGCCGTGCACAAGACCACCATGTTGACAGCTCCGGGCTTCTGCCTGTATCTCGCAATCCATAGATACGAGAAGAAAAGAAAGGTATTGATGCCTGGACGACAGAAAAAAATGAGCACTCGCGTTGCCATGAATATGGACAACTCGCCATAAAAGAGGGTTTCCAGCCAGATAGCAGTGAGATAGGCTTTGTCCAAAGGAATGTTTGCGACGCCCATTGTGGACAGGGTGGAAGTGGGGCAATAGAGTGCATCCACAGCGCTAAAGTTTATATTACCTAGCGACCTGGCACGAGATGGACACCGAACGGGGAAAGAGTAGGAAAATAGAGATACGATAATGGGGAAATCAGGTTCTTTGATGCTGGTTAAAACGTAGGTCAAAGGCTGCCCTTTATCACGACAACTCTAGAAACTGAACATAGTTTGCCATCGCCATGGTTGTGGTTGTGGAAGAAAGTATATTCCAGGATTATTCATTGCAAGATATCGATATTCAAATTTGAAAAACGTCAAGCCGACCAATGAACTTGGCCGTCCGTAATGACAAGGATCAGAAAATGATCATCAGGGGTAGGACCAGGTACGCGCAAGCACTACTTACTCTTAGCCCCTACCAAGTGAGTAAAAAAAAAAGTCTTGTACGACCGTTGACAAAATTTCTGAGCCCGAGCTTTCTGACAGTGGCACACCCAGTCAATCACAACGTATCTACCTCGATTCACTGTGGGTCCCAGGCGCAAGTTCGGCGTGAAGGAGGTTAAACCGCTTTCATGGGAATGCAGTGCCTTCAGATATCTAGGGGAAATGCCTCGGAGACGTGATGGAGAAGGGATCTTCAAGTTTCACGTTCACCGCACCTCCATCGTCCATCAAACCGAAGCTGCTGTCCGGATGTTCAACGGACACATTTCTCAACGCATTGGACAGAGTATCCGTATGCCTTTTATATAATCTCCATTCACCACTGAGTAAAACATCGTTTATCAAGTAGTATTTGGTCACAAATCCCTCTGAACTTTTCAGCCCTGCATAGACGGATCATGAACACTCTTGATGAAGGTTGTGCAAGTGTGCACCACGGTTGCGGAGTATCACAGGAACCTCTGATTCGTTGGGTTAACCGGTGTTCGCGATGCCCAAGGTAACTGTTCGGCATCTACAAGTTGTGGGTACACTTTTTTTTCATCGGGATCATTTCCAGCGCGTTGGTAGGAACGCAGCTCCGATCCGTGAATCGGGTGAGAGTCCTCAAGAGACGTTTCCATTGGGAGTAGCAACATCCGGCGTGACTTTTCCAGGATCATCCTTTGCACTTGCCCACATTTTTGCATCAAGTTTATTGGGCAAGCAGTCTGGCGAGACCCCAGGTTTGGCCATACCAACGGATCTTCGTCTATACAGGTCACATACAATTGCTTCATCGACGTCCATTATGCTCACACCCGGAATTGTAGGAATGAATGGAACACTACTGTTTTTGCTCGGCCGCATTTCCTTAAGCGTCGGCCTGCGGATGATGCAAATAAACTTGTCAGTGTGAGAATGAAACGAAACGTCGAAAGCGGTCCAACACATCAAAGAACTGTGGACTTCCGGATCTATTTAAACTTGAACACGTAGCTCAAGAAGCGGCTTTTAAGTTGAGAAAGGAGTCCAATCCGTTTCATGATTCGCCCACTACTGATACGTTTCAGAAATCCCTCGGATTCAACTTGTCATAGGCGTGAGGGGTGCAGGATAAATCTTCTTATCCACATACTCTGTGTCTAATCAGCGGGCCGGTAATCGATCGTGTTGAAGTCCGCAAGTCAAACACGCGTTTAGTGGCTGGGCCAACAAATCGCAACAATGACACGATTCATCCTTTTCACTTTCTCTCTATGACTTCCATGAACCTAAATCACTCAGAAATCGAGCTATGCAATCTTTTCGGCCAGATGAATCTGGAGAAGGTGAGAGCTAGGGCCTTGATTTCTACCGGATGACGATCTGATGCCCCATCTTTGAAGCAGGAAAGCTACGCCGCCCAACCAGAAGCAATTCTCGTTGATGATATCAGCTGCGATGTATGTTTGATATCCTGTAGCGTTGAGTCTGCGAGCCTATTCCTCAATAGTCCGATGCGTCATCCGATACCGGTTTCAAGGCCCTGGCAGAGTTCAAACACAACGGGTGCGCCTACCTCCAAGCGCTCCAGATGCAGCTCGACAACTACCCCACTACGGGCGGCGAGTATCTGGAAGCCATCTTCACACATCGCGAGATTCTCTGTGCATACCCTGTAGCACACCAGTTATGTGCACAGGGTTTCAGCGACATTGCATACGCTTTGGAGCAACGGGCATGGAGGGCTGATCGTGAAGCAGACACGGAGGCTATTGTGGCTTTTCGCCATGAGGCGTGGATGATTGCGTCGACACTGTGAGTACCACCTGGTTCCGCTACCCTCATGGCAGAGAAACTCATTCTCCGTAATAGTATATACCAGCCTGCAAGTTCTCCTCCTGATTCTTTCAAGGAGTTCACGTATGTGAATAGTACTCGTTCCAAGCCATTTATCAAGTGTATGATGCCTCTATTTTAGAGTCATTTGTTCGCAGGACACTGCTTGATCAAGTAGTATAGTGTCATCATACTGATCTACTAGTGTGCCGTATTTCATTTATTGATGGTGTTCCCTATATTCGGATTGCTAATATTGAACATTTTGAAACGACTGTGCTATTTACTTGTGAAGCATACTTGCATCTTTCTCAGAAAGGCAATGAACTGACTTGTGCTACCGCAGTCTTCTTCAGACAGGAGCTACAAATACTCTACCGGCGCTTATTTGCTTATCCCAGGTTATTTTTGAACACTCATATGGCCGAATTCCGTATGCATCCCATTCATAGTGAGTATACACATTCTATGATCTTCTGAAATAACGCGTCTGACACGCTTTTTGCAAGGGCGACACAACGTGTCAAACGATAGCAACTATGAACGTGTCATTGAAAAAGCATCACGAAAACGTTGAGAAATCAGCTCGTCATGCGAATGAAATGTGTTTTATTGACTCGATATTCAGACACACAAGAAGATCAAGACAAGGAAGATGAAGAAGCTCGACGGAAGGCTACGAAGGACTTAGTCCAGTCGTGGATGGATCGTCTCCAACTCATTAGTTTAATCGTGCGTACCGTTCTCCCGCACGAGATACCTATCAATGTCCTTCAGACGACCTTTTTTGCCTCCGTCGAGGCTGGTTTGCTTCAAGTATCAACGCCGAGCCAGGGGGACGCCACCTCAGCATGGGAGCGAGCATGTAATGCAGGTCTCCTTGGGGCCCTAGTCGTCCATGTCACTGCATGTACGTCTAAATCGAATCAAAATCGCATAGCCGCTCATCTCTGTATCTCTGTAGCCTTTATATCCTTCTTCGCAGCGTTCTTCTTGATTCGCTTCAAGATCATAGAAGCTAACAAGGAAGAGCTTCGAGCAGGAGGCACCGCTCAGCCTGACGAAATATGGTGTGCGAATCCGCGCCTTGTCCAGGCCGGCCCATTCCACGAACAGCTGCCCCTCGACTTGCTAAACAAATGCCATTTATTGACCATCCTGCTCTCGGTGTTTGGGTTCGCGCTGGCATTGATGGGTATCCTGTGCCTCTCCTGGGCAACACAGCCTGTGAGCGTCAGCATCTTCACCAGTGCCTGCCTTTGCATATGCCTAGGAGCCACAGCCTTTATCTTTGGAATAAACAAAGATGAAAGTCTGATATTTCGTACATAACCTGTTCTTATCGTATGTTCTGAACATTCAAGTCGGCGCCAGACGCGTCAGAAAGTAACATCGACAAACAAACAAGCTACAACTTTTTTTTGAATTATTCCTCCGGCAGTTCGATACCATGAATGGGGGTCAACGCAGGGATCCTGCCTTGGTGCCCATCTATGCCGCAGGAAAGGAGCCCTTGCCTGCTGGCGTCTCAGAAGAGGAACGGCCCCAGTATGAGCAAATGATGAGATACCAGACCTACATGTCGATGGCCATGGAGTCCTGCGCAACCAAGGCTGCTTTCGCTGGTATTGGTGGTGCGTTCCCATTCTTCAAAACCAAACAGACGATTCATGCAGTTCCTAGGTCTTGGTATCGGTGCCTTCTTCTCTCTCATGTCTTCTTCGTTTGCCTACGAGGACCCGTTTCTGCGTCAGCAAACACAAGCTGGAATGAATACAACTCAAAAGGCCAGCGCGATATTCAAGGACATGGGCAGGGGCATGTGGACAACTGGGAAGGGTTTCGGAAAGGTTGGGATGCTGTTCGCAGGCGTTGAGTGTGTCATAGAATCCGTGCGTTGCTGCTGCTGCCTACTTGTGTACACCGCTGTGATGATCTTTCTAGTACCGCGCCAAAAACGATATCTACAATTCAATATCTACTGGAATGTTTGTTGGCGGCTTTCTTGCACGAAATTCAGGGCCCAAGGCTGCTTTCGGTGGTGGTGTGGCATTCGCCGCGTTTTCTGCTGCGATAGATGTTTTCTTCTTGAGGCGAGAAACACCAGAGTCAGCTTGGTTACTCTCCTTTTATCGGACACTACTGATCCTTTTTTTTTTAGTGAGGATTGAGGTCCCCTTTGATAGATTAATTTATTTCATTGCGCACTATCTACTCAATAATTGTATCAAATACCACTATCGCTATTGAGAATAATGAAGCATAGTATTAGACGCTGTAGTACTAGTGTTACACTAAACGCTTTTGAGTTCTCTAAGAGCTATTCATACAATTGTCCAGTCATCCGCCTAGAAATACTATCATATGCGGGAGGTGCCTCCCCCATTATACTCTGCTGTCCTGAAACCAGCCGCTCATATAAAGTACTTTCATCCATCGCCTCCTCCACCTGGTGCAGCGACCGCATCGAGCTCGGGTCTAATGGACTAGCCTCGACCGGCGATGCACTAGAGTCGTCGGAAGAACGACCAGAGCCAATTCTTTCCAGCCCATTGAACGGCCCTACAAAATCAGGCAGAGGATGATGCTCACGCTCACGTTCTTTCTCCTTCCCCCGCACCCGTTCCAGAGACTGGAGCTGACACGGACACTGGACGGCGATAGAAGTCGGATCCTCGAAAGACTTCGAGTAATGTGGTAGAGATGACCATTCCGGATTGCAGCGACACTGTTAAGGAAGCAAAGGGTTACACCAGATACATAGCATCCCAAGGAGACGCTCACAGATAATATCATGATTGGAGTCTGCACCACGATATCGAAGAGTTTCCTCCTCCCCGTCTTGGGATCAACTGCATTTGGGTCGCCGGTTTCTACTCGAATAACACATTTCAGCGTGTGAGTGACACAGATATTGCTCTTTTTGTTTTTGTTTGTAAAGTGAAGCATGCGGCAAGAACTAGGAAGTGGTAGATCGCGCTGAAGTGTCCATGGTCCCGGTCCCATCCAGCTTGATGCGAGCTCCGAAATGTCGTCTTCAGAGTTAACTACAGCGTGCAGAGGCGAATTCCTAAGAGCGTCTATATCATCCGACTCCAAAGGTAGGATCGGACCTGGGTGCTTCCCTTCGTGCTTTATACTAAGAAGCTGGACATGGGTGATCGGTTCTGTTCGTGCAACACGTTTGAAGTGAACAAGGTACTCCACTTTCTCTGTGCAACGTGACGAATAAATACAAGACGATGGCGAGAGAATCGATAGACCTAACCTTCGATAAACACTGACAAACGGTGTATTTTTACCTTCGTGAGAGGCATCATAGTAAAAGAAATAGGGATCGTGCCACCAATGTAGAAACTTCTGCCGGATATCGTGATAAGGTACTGCAACTGCTGGTCCCAATGGCGCTCCACGATGATATTCTCGGTATCTTCTGTGTCCTCCTCGGTCGGACAGGACACAACGACGATCTCGCGCTGAGCAGACAGCTTGGTCTTAAATGTCCCAGGGCGGTGGACATTTGCGGAGATGGTCCACGACACAGAACCAAAACTGCATTGCAGAGTGGGAGGTGCATTCCCGGGTATCGTGAATGATACTGGGTAAGTATATGTACCTGTGCGCGTTGACTAGGTATTGAGAATATACTCAGTAATATGGACCAAGAAAAATTACCTGCTTTGAATTCTCGCCATCGCTCGGTGTCAATCTTATCATCCATGTCTGGATTTAAGATATCCCCAAGTAGGCCGAGCGTCAGCCGTTCCGTTGACCAGCCCTTCTGTCTTGAATGCGATCGTTCAACGTTGTTATCGTTAGCCGTCAACAACGGTTTTGCTTTCTCGCGTGTCCGTCCTCTGTACGAAGTCTCGTCTAGAGGGAAATCTCGTTCCGTCGAGCGACTCCCAACTCCAAAGCCCTTTCTGGGTGAAGTTGATCGAACGACATCCATTATGGCATTGGATACTGAGGCAAGACTGAAACGAGATACCTTCCTCCGACCACGGGATTCACTTGGACTGCGCGTGTCTAATAAGCTGGGAACTCGCAGTGGTGATAACTGAGGAGAATTCTGTGTGGTGCTAGGGCCGGACTCGAAGGGTTCGTCAATGCTCACACGTCTAGAACGCGATCCATCTCGTGAGATGGGTTGCCAAGAACGCAGACTAGACGACGAAGAGTGAATGGTGGGTGGATTAGGGGGTAGTGCACGCGAAGGACCTTAGGACAAGGATAACAACTCTTCAGTATTGATAGAAAGCGCAGTATGTACCCACTCACTTCCTCTGCCACGACTCAAGTCAGGCCTCAGTGTGTTTCGCAAACCTATCAAGGTATTGGCAGGGTTTTCATCCACGGTCTCAAGATGTCCTGCAGAGTGAGCAGGACTTAATGTCGGACGTTCCACGGAAGGCGATGAATGTGAAGGTGTAGTTAATGAGCCGGACGACGACGACGGTGCATAAAGTGAATATGGAGGAATATCTGCATCGTATGATTGTGGATTTCGTCGGTATGAACTATCGACACTAACACGACGCTGGGCTCTTAGGTACCGATTCGCATTTGCGGTGACTGCCATATAAAGAGCATCCTCGGAATGGCTGGCAGGGTCGAGATAATCGTCATCATATTCGTCAAAGGCTTGATCTTTGTAGCCTGTCAAGCCGGGGCCAACAGACATGGTCCGACGGGGAGGCGGGCCGGCGTTGAATAACACAGTAGACACGGAGAAAACCTTGTTGTCCTCCGTGACATCTACTCTCCGGGAACCAAAGCCTAATAACGAAGAATTCAACGCTGAACCGGTGCTTATCTCGAATCTCGTACCTTCTGGCCATGCTGTAGAAGAGGTGGCCTGGAGTTTGAGGTCAATGCTGGTTATTTTGGTCGGTCTTGCCAGCTCAAGAATGAGCAAACCACGCAAAACGGAAGGTCGTGAATCACTATTGGGATTTCTTCCAGATGCATCATCGGTCCTCAGAAAGACAGCAGACTCTGTAAGACGGATGCTGAGATTATTCTTTTTGATTCCATGCATAGACTTTCAAAGGTAGGCCCGCCGAAGGGCAACGGGAATAGAAGAGCTGCAAATCAAGGCGGATGGTGGTTCAAAATAATGCAACCTGGTGGGTGATAGGAGATGAAGCATTTTATGTTTTTTCCACGTGCGCCGGAAATAATTCCTAGCCGCCACAAGATCCGGCTGGCAGTTGGGAAGTTCGTCGCGTGGGAATATGACGCGATTCCGAAACATCTACCGGTCAGTCGAGACTGCATATTCGCCATTGCTGACGTCATACAATCAAGATGACTGTGCTTGTCATGTTTCCTTGTGGTTGAGGAAAGGTGCCTGTGTTCCGTTGCCCTTGAATTTTGCATCCGCTGTCGAAATCTCGGTCGTACGATGAGGACTCGGTGATTCCATTTCAAGACTGCTAGCTCGAAACAAACCAGTACCACTATAAAATCTTTGATACAGACAGGTCTGCACATATTATTAGTAGCTGATTGGATCAGATTTCTTGGAATAACAAAGCTGGACCCGAAATGATTGGAATGTAAAATGCATCATCGTGAGAATAGGCACAGCCATTGGCAAGCACTCACCGTGAAAATGATGATTCAAGCAGACTCACCTGGCCAAGTCTTCTGGATTTACGTACCGCAAGCATCGTCTCATCATTAACGACCGCCACCAGACATTTGCATATGCGAGTCTCAGCCGTAGGCCGGGAGTACGTCATGTACCAAGGAAGCAAAACAGGTCCTGGGGGATGAACGAGCACGATCTTGACAAACGTGTGCAAAGATTGGAAATCAGAGGGATCAACTGCGAAACTGAGAACCCAGATGCCAGCCAGAACATTAAATAAAGAAAGGGAACAAGTTGAGCTCATCATTAACTTTCTTAATGACTGCAAGATGGTGAAGAGTGCGAAGAACTGGAGCGACGTGCAGGCCGTTGTCTGCACGTTACGTCCTTTCGATTCAAGACCCTGGAACCACAGAAACTGAGAATAGATATACTGAAAACAGCCAGTCAGCCCTTTGTCCGCCTTATATATGGTCAGGACGGTGAGATGTGAGCTCACCAGTAAGCATGAGAGACATCAGAAACTAGTAGTAGAACCTGGTGTGATGCAACGCCATGGTCGCTCCAACTAGAGTTATTCGATGCTCAGCAAGTTGATCGGAGATCAGAGAAGAGCTTCGACTCGGACTGAATGTTTGCACTTGGCCATTTTTCTGGGGAGCTCAGCAAGGCATGGGCGAGACTTTCTGTTTTCTGACAAAGACAGAATGACACATAGAAACGAATGGCGTACCAAGAAAACAGTACTTCTGGACCTTGTATTCTGAACCAAGCTAACTATGGGCGGGTCTGTGCTCCAAGTGACTCCTCGAGCGGATACTGATCTTTCATTTGGGGCCCGACTTGGGCCCATGTCATCGTTGGATTTCTTTCGTCCTGTTCTCCTGGCGAGTCCAAAAAGAATGTTCAACCGGCGCGGCCTTCACAATTCATATTAGATACTGTCGGTAGTAACTAATGTGAATCGGAAAGGTGCAGGAGGGGAAGAATAACAAACGCCTTGTTCACGCCATTTCAGGCGCATCCTGGCCTGATATTGCTCCGTATTTTACGCTCTGGATCTCACATTTCCGCATCCTTTCACCTCCCTTCACAGGTCAACCGTGGTCTGTCGGGAGAAAAATCCAACCGTTTCTGGAACGTATTCTAAGAGAAAAGGGTATCGATGTTGTCTATCCGTAAAAAGGAAATAAGGACTAGTAACTGACAGCATTAGGGTGTAACCAAGCAACTGGCAGGCCGAAGAGATTTTGTCAGCACAGCCACATGAGGTTACGTACGCCTCTCGGTGCCGCGGCTTTTTGGTTTCGTTTTTTCATTTAAAACTTGGTTAATGCATCGTGATCTGACTGGTGTTTTGAAGTGGAGGAAGAGGTGGAGGTCCGAGGAGGTATGCCATTGTATTAATTGACCAAGGCGCCATTTCAGACAAGTTTTCAAGGGGTCGTCACCGCCGCCACAAGTGCTGGTTACGGTCACCCTTGTTCGCCTTACCCTCTGGTAGTATCCATGCGGTTGGCAAGCACCTGTTTTCCTACGAGAAGCGCATTACCTGGCGCTATGATGGGCGATAGTCAGAAGAAGGTTATTCTAGATTAGCACTGAAACTGCTAAAAGAAATGATGCACGGTCAGCATATACGAACGAATATTCTGACTGATGCTGGGGCTCGTAGTGAAACGTTCCAGTCACGTTATCGCGGTTTATCGTCGGGAGAAGCCGTCAGCATTTTGATCGCTTAGACCACATCTTTCTTCGTCCCCTCTTCCCAAGCAGGGACTGACCCGGCGTACACGGCCACCCGTTCTAGAGGCAACCTCCGTCACTGGATCGACTCTTGTTTCCTTGCCAACGAGCCTCATTGGCGTAAGTAGCGTAACGTATACATATCTACAGCCTGGCCCCCTTGCTAGACGGCTATCCTGCTCACTGTTCACTATGCTCGTCCTCCAATACGGTAGTGTCTAACCCGCCGTATCTGCTCTAGCCCCGTGGAGATTTAATTTGAATCTTCTCTAAATTCTCTAAGTGACCTGAGCGCGGTATCAGCGACGTACTGTACGTCATTGCGATCGTAATTCTTCTCTGACCAATCAGGGTGTGAGCACGGATGCTGACAGGGAAAAGGCTGGATGCCATCGTGCTTCTCATCCCCGTCCTTTGACGACGCGTCCGTCACCTTCACCTGCTCTGTGTTCTCATTTTTTCCTCCTCTTTCTTGATAAAATTTCGACGACGTGCAACATGCATGCTTTCCTTGCGGGCCTTATCTCTGTTGTAAGTTTTTTCTGGCTGCGTTGCTACACGTTGTTTCACCCTCGTCTTGCAGTTAGCTCTTGCACGCACAGTTCTTGCTGAGAATATTGTGATCACTGTAGGCCATAATACGACAAACAATGCCAGTGCGGTGTTCCAACCGCAGAGCGTGACCGCAAAGCTCAATGATGTTGTTGTTTTTAACTGTTCGTAACCGATTTATATTGAAAAGCTTGTATTGTGTGCTGAAGGTATCCCAGTTACGGAAGGAAACCACACTGTTACTCAGTCTCTTTTCTACGCGCCATGTATTTCGGCCAACAACGCCAACTCTACTATCAACGGGTTTGATTCGGGTTTTCGTGATACCGTCAACGGTACTGCGATTACCATCCTCAGTGTCCCCATCACCACCGACATTGAAAACCAAACGCTCTGGTTTTTCGACTACAACACCTGTAGCGAAGGAGGCGTGGGTGGGATTAATGTCAATGAGAGCAGCTCACAAACGCTAGAAGGATTTGAGGTATGTTCATTGCATTCAACATTCCATACTGAGTTAACCCGGAATTACAGCGCAACGCTGTTCGTCTCAATGGTACAGCTTCTTCCACGTCTTCTAGCATGAGTCAAACTTCGACGTCGACGTCTTCCTCATCAACTGCAGAGTCGACTTCCAATGATGCCCAGCGCACGGTCGTATTTGTAGGTGCCGCGGTGATCCCCGTTATCTTGCTATCGGCATTCCTTTAGACCGATTGGTTTTCTTGGGTTGCTTTTTCAGACGCTTTATTTATCAAAACGATTGAATCACGAGTCTTTACCTTCCCTTCATGATATCCTGATACCTGCTCACATCTGCGATCTGTTGCTTATAATTATTGTCCCCTCTCTTGCACATTTGTGTTAAAATATTGCTATCGATTTTTGGTTTTGTTTTTTAAATTTTTTGCTTCCGTCCGAGCACAGCCACGATCTCTCGTGAGCACAATGCCATCATCACATAATGGACCCCGATGACCACAACTTACCCGGCGCCGTTTTGTTACGCGCTGCTGCGACTCCCAATGATCGTCCTTGTCTTCCGACCACCACCACCGCCCTTTCTCCCGCTGCTATGCCCGTTAATATTCTCACCGCCCAAGCAGGCCTCCGGGTTGGGCCTCTATTGCTTGAGACGCTGGTGAAGCATTACTTTGACCGGATCACCAAGGACGCGCTCAAGAAGACGGAAGTCCAACTGAGGCGCGATGAACTTTTGTACGACCAGGCCTTTAGTATCATCAAGGTGCGCTGCTATCATTCCTTGTGCGCCAAGACTGAACTGAAATGTTCTCGGCAGATGTTCCTGGAGGTCGCAACGTAGTGAGTAACTATACCGCCCATCTGTGCTCTCTGATACCAAGGGACATCAGCCATACCGTAGAGGAAGTCCAGGGTTGGTTACTCCGATCCAATGAATGACATTCATTTCAATCCTGACTTCACATCTAGGCTTTGGAAACACACGCACGCCGTCTCCTCCCTGGGTCCGCGTTGTACGAGTGCTGGTGTCAACAACATGCTGTGATGACGCAGCTACGTATCTTGTTCAAGCATTGGGTGGCGAGGAACTTGCACGACGTGTCGTAGGTGGGGTAAAGTGGTGGCAAGTGCGAGGTATCAGCGGGTACGTTCTTGACCCATTAATCTATAGATCTCAGTTAAATATAAACTTAGTGTTGACTGTCAGTGGATAACCGCGAAGAAAGACTGGAGAGAGGCCAAGCGGCGGTACAAGATGCAGCAGAAAACGAAATCCGACGTTGACCCGGTGCAGGAGACGGGTGAAGCAACGACTTATGACAAAGATATGGATGAAATGCGTTGTATCCTATACTTGCACGGAGGTAACTATAGACATACCTCTAATGTTCATTGATTCATATCCCGCATAGGTGGATACTATTTTGGAAGCGTAGACCAAGAGAGGGAAGACATGCTCTTTGAATTCAAACATTGCTGTCCTGATGTGAACTATATAGATATAGCATCCAGCGACATGCTCGTAAAATTAATGGTCGTGTTTTCGGTGAGACTGCACCCTAAAAGTCCTCCTTCATTGTTCATTATGTGTCAGCTGTAAATTACCGTTTAGCCCCCCAATACCCATTCCCTTGTGCCCTTCAAGACGTGTTAGCTGCCTGTAGGACATATCAGCCTTTGTCATCTTTGTGTTCTGACCATTCGATAGATTTGTACTTAATAAACCCTCCCCCGGATGCTCATCATCGTCCAGTCAAGCCATCACATATAGTTGTCGCCGGAGATTCAGCGGGAGGCGGCATATCTTTAGCGCTGCTTCAAGTCATTCGGGATAGTGGTCTACCGATGCCTGCAGGGGGGGTCTTGATATCGCCTTGGTGCGAGTAAGTCCTACTTTTCCACCGTATTCTAGAGTCGTGATAATATCTTTCAGTTTGACGCATTCCTTTCCGAGCATTCATCTCAATACGGATACTGATATCATCCCTAAGTATGGGCTGTCTCTCCAGAAGCCGAGTGTTCTGTGGCCTCCGCCGTCCCAGGAAATGACGCGGCTTGTGCACGCTTCTCTTCGCTCCCGTATACGACAGGCATTTAAAATGGATCCGCCCGAGCCCAACACAACGGTGACGACCCTTGGTGGGCTCAGATGTACTTCAGCTTCCGGAATGCCTGTAGATGTCGGTGCAACGGCGGCCCTTCCTTCACTGAGCTCAGGGAGCCAAACGATCAATATGACTACGGCGTCGGGAGATGTGCTGAAGATTGATCATCAGGTACATATGTACGCGCAGAATAGCCTCTTGGGTCACCCTCTTGTTAGCCCGGCCATGTCATACTTGGGAGGGCTGCCGCCTCTGTTTTTTATTGACAGTGATAAAGAGGTTTTACGCGACGAAATTATTTATGCGTAAGCTGTATTCTTCCGTATTTGTGTTACAGCTGACTCAGACTTTGCCAGCGCCCATAAGGCAGCTTACCCGGAGAGATTCCCCATTAGAGAGGAACTTCGAAATTTGTACCCACCACTTAAAGGTATCGAATCACGACGCAAAGCTACGCGTGTACACTTACAAGTTTACGATGGTAAGATCGATTGGATTATACCGCCACCATCTAATCCGTTGTTTAGATGCTGCTCATACTTTACCTGTCCTGTTCTCGTTTACTACACCGGGTAAGTTTTGCTATCGTGCCATCGCGTCATTCTGCAAGTCTGTCACCGGAATGACACAAACTCCCGAAACCCCCGTTGATGAGTCGTTTTCTGTTCCGAGCCCGCCACACACGCCTACGCGCAAGATGTCCTTTTCAGCTAACATCTTGTCCTCGCCAAAACGAGAGCCGGTGTCCCGTATGTCGTCAATGACGCTTTCTTCCACACCTTCCGAGATGAGTGAAGACGAAAGAGCCTTTTCTCCCGTTCAAGTGGAGAAGAAAACGCTGCGACGGGCATTTTCCGAGTCTGTACGGAAAAGGTCAATACCTCATGCCTGGCATAAGCATCATGAATTGCATCCATTGCCGTCTGCTGAGCATGCAAACGGTGCCACAGTAAATGGGAACGGTGATTGTCTCAGACAGGACAATTCGTCTAGTGGTGTAGCTGGTCCACACTTCCATAATCATCATTCTCATCACCACCATCACGGCTCTTCACCATCACGTCCCGGGGAAGGACCACGTATGGCCGGGGATCCTGTCATTTACGCGGAAACTTTTGTACGTTCAGTTCTATCCGTCATGCGATTTCCTAATCTTATTGTCTATTTTTCAAGGACGATCCGGAATGGAAGGGTATCATGATTCGTGAGCGCGTATCCACACAAGGTGTCATCCGACCGCTCGAACCAGAATCCGAGCTCGATGCTCTGAAAGTCCCTGTAGAGTTCATGGGCGCCATATCCGAACTCGCCGCTCGGCGGTTCATTGAAGGCCAAGCAAAGTTTGACAAGAAGTTCTCCAATGCGGTCAAAGCAATTGAGAAGCACCGGATAGATAATCTCAAGCGAGCGAAAAAGGATACGATGCGGAATATCGCTGTTCTGCAGCATTCTTTGGAGAAGGAAGGGAAGACTGAGGGGGATAAGAGGATCAAGGATGGCCTGCTGGAGGCTTCGGGGAGCTGGAGTTGGGCTTGGGCGCTTGATGCAGGGGAGACGCCTCCGCCAAGCAGTATCGTGTCGAGGCGAGATACCGATGAGGCGAGGCGGCTGGCGAAGATTGCCGACCAGGCGGTCTTTCCGGGCGAACATTCTGTCACGGGCAATAATCTGTGGCAAGTGTTGGTGAACTTTTTGACTGTGACGCCAGACAAGGAGAAAGGGCATGAGCATGACAAGGACGCGACTGTGCGGAGAAGGACGTCGTTGTTCGCCAAGTTTGGTCCGTCGTTGTCGCAGGAGAAGATGCCAGAGGCAGCGTCTCGGTCTTCTGCATAAGCTTGACGGATGGAAGATAGATGTATCTGTTTCCTGTTATCATTTCTTGGCTTGTTGTACCTGCACAACTAACAATAGAATTACTGTTCGCTTTCATGCTGCTAACTGCGACCAAAACTGATCGATATCATTCTTGGTCCACCGCCACCACCACTAATTTGTGATTTCCTTTATTCCTTCCTTGGGAACAAGTCAAACCGCGGATAAAAATAAAATGCTATACAATAATCACCGCTGATACTACTGGTCCGGCTACTAAGAAACCGGGGTAAGCCCACCTATGGACCGAGGAGCGCTGCCATTTGATGCTCTCTCCTGTACTCATGTCTTCCAGCAAACCGCCGAAGAAGGTCGGTGGGGAATACGGGCAAATACGGGCAAATATCGATGTCCCAAAATTGGAGAGCTTTCTGGCGAGAAATGTCCCTGAGGTTCGCTTGCCGCTGCAGGTGAAGCAGTTCAAGGTGCGTCACACTCCTTCTCGTTGTTGGGACTAGGAACTGATGTCCCTTTACAGTTTGGACAGGTAGCGTCTCATTACGGGTGTCATCCACTGCACTGAATATATTTCTACAAGTCGAATCCTACTTACTTCTTGACCGACGCCAGGTGCATAGCTTCGATATCACCACTATTTACGAAGGCTGACCTGGTACAGCTCCAAACGATATGTCTTACGGAAAAAACCTGCTGGCCAGTTGCTGTCGAAAACTGCGCACCAGGTGGAACGGGAATATACGATGCTTCACGCCCTACATACGTTCAATAACAAGCCAATGACTCGTCCTGAAGAACGCGTCCCTGTACCGGAGCCATATGTTCTATGCGAAGATGTGTCTGTGATTGGAACACCTTTCTACGTGATGGAATTTGTAGACGGACGAATCTTTACCGATCCACGGATGCCTGAATCAAGTCCCGAAGATCGAAGAGAATGGTGCGTCTTCGTCTTCTCTAGTCATGGCCACCCTCTTATGCCTCTTTGTACAGCTGGCTGGGTGCCGTACGAGCATTGACTAAACTCAGCAGCGTCGACCCCGTTGCAATTGGTCTTTCGAATTTTGGTCCCTCGACCGACTACTTTCCTCGTCAGCTCAAATCCCTTTCCGCTGTCTCGAAAGCCCAAGCTGCAGCCAAAGATGTCGAAACAGGCATACCTGTCGGATCTATACCCTCCTTCGACAACATGATTGAATGGTACTATGCCAACCTCCCTGACGAGTCCAAAATTGGTCTCCGGATTGTACATGGGGATTATAAAATGGACAATCTCATCTTCCATCCTACGGAGAACCGTGTTATTGGTATCCTGGATTGGGAACTATGTACATTGGGAAGTCCGGTATGTAGCGTCGATATCGTTCTTGATACCTAGACTGAGTGTGTGGTTGACGTAGCTCGCTGATTTTGCCAACTTGACCCAGCCATGGGCGATAAACCCGGCTGACATCGCAATTACTAGGCACAATTTGCTGGTGGCCTTTGGCGCTGAGAACCAGAAAGATGTCCCGATTCCTTTTGAGGAGCTGGAAAGAGAATATTGTAGATTGATGAAGCAGCCGTGTCCCATCAAGGAGCTTGTCTTCGTTCGTAGCTGGATGTTATTCCGGGTAAGCCATATTTCAATCGTAGAGTTAAGATGTTCATCTTCTTTGCAGTTGGCTATCATCATACAAGGGATTGCTGCAAGACACGCCAAACGTCAGGCAAGCTCTGCCCAAGCTGGAGCCTATGGATCCACCTTTATTCTCATGGGTAACCTGGCAAAGATCTTCTTGGCGAAGAATGGTGTGCGGCTAGATGCGAAAATATTCAAGTTGTAGTAATCGCCATATGTAAATATTATAAATTAATTGTCGCTTTTCTACTTGGATTTTCAGTGCGAGTGAGGGCCGGCGGGGCCGGCTTCCGGCTTCCCTGGCTGCTGCCAAACTCTGACCACGATCTTCCACCTTTTCTTGGCTACAAAACATGCTCGCCATGAAGTGTTTCCTGCCTAGCCTTGACCCATATCGTTATCTGGATCCTGGGTTTATTTTGAAGCGTCGCTGAGCACGAGTTCCACAAAGAACGACTTCGAAAATGTTTCGCGGTTCCGACGGACTTGCGCCTCAGCTTTATATATCCAGTTTCTTGGTGCTCAAGTCGAGGATAGAACGACCGGCATAGGTTATCTGGCGAGTTTTCAGTCATGCCGTACTGGTCTAGTCCTTGTTGGAGTTCCTTGCGACTGCCTTCGGGTCCACTGAATATATCGGTATCTATCACCATTTCTCATTTCGTTCCAGATGCAACAGAGTTGCGATCAGTTCGAATTCTCCGCATTCACTGCTCAAGACCGTCGATCTGCTCAATTTCACTGCCAGCATGTAACAAATCCGAATTGGCTTAGTTCAATCATTCAAACAGAGAGCCCCAGAAACATGTTTTAATACCATCCTACGTTCGCACTCTCATTGGATTCTAATCGTTTTTGGTTTACTCACCGTGTCGATAACGCATCCACGCATTGACCTTCGTGGACGTCTTCCCAAGGCTAGAACCGGCCTCGTGCGGGAAGAACCGGCACGAGGCTCAATTTGGTTCCGAGAAAAAATAGATGTAACGGTTTGTTGACTCGGTTTGACTAGCAACTATCATGTCCACGCTTACCATGACTCAGAGTCACCAGCAAGGACGATTTCGCTCCTTCTCCCTATCCCTTGTAGCTCGGCATTCCTCCCCATTATTAGCTCTCCCCGCTGAGCTTATCATCGATATTATCACCTTCGCTTTAACAGAATCCAAAGTCAATGCACTCGCGACAATATGCAAAGATATCACCTGTCTTCTCAACACTATACTCTACCGCACAGTTTCCTTCAGGTCCACTCGCTCTATGTCCCTTTTCTACCAGGCCTCCCGGTCGAACCCTTCTTTGACAACCCACGTCAGAAATTTTACCGTGACCGAGAACTCGGTTCTTGATGCCAACGGATGGAGACGTGTATGGGATATCCTATCTCGAGCCACAGGATTGTTATCTCTGTCTCTCAAGGAGGGTTATCCACCGTCCTCTATGGCTTTGATCCTTGCAGATCCAAGTCATGACAGTCTTTCTGCAGTCACGATACAGCGTTTCCATGCATCCTCCGCATCAGTCGGCCCCGCATGCGTCGCACCTATATCTCATCTCCGTATATGTGAACCCAGCGACCAATGGCACTCTCCTTCTGAGATCCTATCGTCGTTTGGTTCACTCCCTGCACTCACCCATCTACAACTCTGTCGTCGGATGAATGGTAATGAAGAGAATGACTTGGCCTTTGTGGAAGAGATTACATCCATTTTGAGCGGCCGGGCGCGTCTCAGGATGCTCGTCGTGACTGTATTTCCGCAGATGTCGGCGGGCGAGGAGCAGCTGGTGGATAGTGGCATATGGGGTTTGCTGAAGGCGGTCGCGGATGAGCGTTTGGTTGTCAAGAGGAGTGGGTATGGATTATGGCTGAAGGACGATCCTTGGGCGAGTACATGAATTTCTTAGACTTTATAGACTATCATTAGATGTGTAGATATGTCAAGAACTATATTGGAACTTATGTTCTCGAAACGCTTTGAGTGCAGGGGAGCTCTAAAGGCCATTCCAACGAGTTTAGAGAAAAAGCAAGACGTCATCACTGTTATATTATACAGTGAATTCATGTGTAGTCTAGCGAAGAGACCTCATCAGTGGTCGACCTGAGTTACCTTCGAATATATTAGACGGTGTAGACAAAGATAATTCATACTACCCACCTTTCCGCTTTCAACGTGATAAGTCCACCCTATGATGGTAGTATCCTTCAACACAAGGGGATGGCTCTGCAGATATTTGACGTCGTGCTTCACACTTTCTTCCAACTTGGTGAACTCCAGAAAATCAATTCGGTTGACCAGGTTGGCTGCTTCGGGTCCGTCCTCATCGGCAATCTTGCTCTGCAATTCCTGAGTGGTGAATGTCATCATTCCACAATCTGTATGGTGAAAGACGGCTATTTCTCGTGTTCCAAGGAGACGCTGAGATATAATAATACTCCTGAGAGCATCCTCCCTGCGGGATTGAGGGTGAGGTTTCCGGTGTCAGAATACCTGGTGCACATACACTCTGCCTCCTGCATTGCGAATAATGTGTGCTTCTCCAAGCTCAATACCAAGCGACGCGGCGGGACTGACAGAGTCGATAGCAGGATGCTTGACTTTCAAGAACAGTGCACTCACTCGATTCGCGCGTCCATACAAGTTACTGAAAAGCGAAATTCGTGAGGCTGATACAGGTCCAAAAGGAGATGCAGACATACCCACGATGATCTTCTTCGACGGAGGCAAAGCCAAGTCGCCCTTGTTGAACGTTGCAGCATATATCTCGTTGCGCTTGACGAATCTTTGGGGAGTCGACATTGTGGTAGATGAGTAGGATTAGTTCTCGTGTATGGGACATCTATACCGGTGGTAATTAGTCCACAGTTTGCACGAATTGCGCGATGATATCACGAGTACGTCAAGCGTGAGACAACGTGCGGAGGAAATCGTTTTCATTATTCATAGAATTATGCTAGCTGGGCGAATCCTTCAACTCTGGAGAAGAAGGTCAAAGGGGACAAATACCTGACACTGGATACAACTGCCGGGGAGGGGCCCTATCAGTAATGTCGGAATCACGAAAATGTGATAATTATAATACGTACAAAGTACAGATATAATGCAAGGTATCCTGATAATTACAAGGGGTCAAGCAGTCAGTGACCTGTGAAGATTGTCAGCATATATCACGAAGGAAGACTCGAAAATCAGAAAAGAATATGCACATCACGTTGATCAGTGCTTGACTTCTATGTTGTTCATCACAAGAACATCGTGGAAAAGACCTCACCAGAAAATGGATTGCGATACATATCATCGATGCTGGTCTGCCGGCTGAAATCGAGTGTAATACTGCTTGGTCTGATTCTCCATAGTTTCTTGTGTGGATTCTGGCAGGTCTTCTACAAAATGAGCTAGAGAGGGCATAAGGGTGATGATATTTGCGGGCAGGGTGACGTACCGGGAGACCCAGAAAACAGAGCCATAGCCGGGATCACTGTGTTAGCGGGAACAATGGTATTATCCGCAACCTTTGCGCAGTCTTTAATAATAGTAAATTTTCCCTGGGTTGATTGAGAAAAGAGGATAGAAATGATAGAACCGCACGAACAATCACACAGTTTTTCCCAATCTCGACGTGATTCCCTATGGTTGCAGCTTCGACGACGGTGTTGGCGCCTATGTGAACATAGTCTCCAATCTTCATGGGGTAATAGTTAAAAGCGCCGCGATAAGTCTTGTATGGAGGTCTGGATGTTCTTGGTAAGAAAAGAGACAGAAAAAAATGGGAGAGGCCTCACCGCATCACGCAACCTTCTCCTACCAAGCAATATCTACCCAGCGAGATAACGACGGCATGACCAGGACCAGACCGACGCAGGTCTCCACGTATGATAGCCCCGCTAGAGATGATGGTTTTGCCTCCGAGGATGATATTTTGCGGTCCAGCGATTGTCGCTCGTCGTGATACCTTGTTTCCAGTGTCCTACAATACGACACGTCGGTTCGTACGCGAATCCAGAGAGAACCTACCGCACAGTTTCAATGAATTCCGATTTGGAATAGTAGATTGGGCCGTCCATGGGAGAATCTGTCAGTGTCAGGTGGTGGCTGCCGAGAGTGCTTACAGGTAAGCGGCGCGGCCGTCCTGGATGCAAACCACCATGTTGCCCCGACTCGCCTGTCGCCATATTAATGCCTTTCATCGTTCTCTACTCAGGCCTTGCAGCGCTGTCGCATCGTGGCGGATCCTGTCGACAGCAGCGTCGACGACCTCTCAGAAATCATTTTCCGCCACCGAACCATCTGAACAACATGTATACCACGGGCCTCTGAGCAACACCTTCAGACGGCTCAAGCTCTTCTCTTGGACAACTCTAGGACTCACCTCAACTATATCACCCTTCATGTTCGTCATCGAATCCAATTTACCGGCAAGCGCTCGACTTTCATTGGCTACAATCGCGGTTACGACATCGGCAGCGAGTACGGCTATCGTCGGATGGGTAACCCACCCGTACGTAACTTCTCTTCGCCGGTTAGAGCCCCCGACCCCAGGAGGTGTACCCGAGATTGAGATGACCACATATTCTCTTACTCTGAAGCCAAGAATCACCCGGGTACGTTTCGAAAATCATGTCACCAGACTTGTATTATGATTGAACCACGCGTTCAGGTCTACGATCCCGATTTTGTTATTGATACGTCCCGACCTTTCGCCAAATGGGAGCTCGCCAAATCAGTTGCTCTACCTGTCGAACGACGGCCTACAATCCCAGTTCCAGGAAGCGAGGAAACGGTGGCGGAAACTATGGATTCGAACGGTGAAGTGATCGGTAGTTGGGTGGTTCGTTGGGCGGAAAATGGTGAAGGGACTTGCCGATCCATTGGCAGCGTAGTGCGGTTGGTCCCCAGCTTTGTATTCTACTTCATTATAACTGAAATTCTAATAGACATTTTAATGTTCACCTTGAACTTTTACGATAATACTAATCTTTGAATTTCCTCTTCGATTTCGTGGTCATTTTCAATAAGGCTACCGTTGGCTCTTTGAATATCCTCGGTTGTCAGTTCCTTGATGGATGATTGTTCAACACCATATTGAGACCTGACGCCTGCAGGTTCTGAATGACACAGCGTCAAACCGACACGCGCTCAACTCAATGACTTTTGTCGTTATCAGGACACAGAAACTCGGCACCGCTCGCCTACTTCTCTGCCTCGGGACACAGCTTTCTGATTCGCTTTCGTCAAGATGGCTTGCAAGTCAAGTTTCCTCAATGGTAGAGGTCGCAGATTCTCATCGTTCAGAAAACTCCCAGGAAAGAGAAGGGACAATACTATGCTCAGACGCAGTCCTCTTAATCCCAGCTCATTGCAAGGAAGCCAACTCATACGGGAGCCGTCAACCACTTGTGACATGAGACTGAATATCCGGACGTGCTTTGGGCTTTTCGCTTCTGGAGGACTTTGGTTATAAGTAGTCACCCGTGAGACCCGTGGTCTAAAAAAACCTCTCAAGTAGCAAGCATGCCTTTGGAGCTTGACACGGTCTAACTCCCTTATCCTGCATCCCAGAGTACACTGACACGCAGCGTCCAAATTGGAGCTGAAGGAACGGAAATTATGCGAGCATGCTGGACACCATTCGAAAAGGCGAATTTGTAACGGATTGCTTACTTTCTTCAAATGAGTCCTTGCCTATTGGACATGATCCATAACGCTCCTGACGAAGATCGAGTCCGTGAAGCGATCAGTCAACTCAGTCGTTACGCCTGGAAAATCCGCGGCCTCGGGAACCGACAGCAGCAAAGGAGGGTTAAAAAAATCCGTAAAAAATTTTGTGATAAACTAGTCAACCAACTGCAATGGTTGTTGCGGCATAGAAGTCCTGTTGATACATAGAGCTCGTCCTAATAATACATTGGTCGCGTTACCCAACACCAGCTTGTCTACATATCCTGAATGAATGTCATGACATGTATTCATAAAGTACAATGCGGTGTATGGTTGTAATACCAAGATAAGAGTAATGCGAGCAATAACAGTTGAGTGGGGGGGCGAATAGCAAGAGCAACACTAGAATAATGTAAACGAAGTACTTTTGTCTAAGATGCCTGTAAATAAACGAGAAATGGCAAGGGCAGAATGAGAGGAAAGAGAGGGAGAGTCAGGTTTAGTCTTTCTTCTCAGGCTCAGGTTCTGACGAAGATGACGACGCGTTCTCCTCAGCGTTGCGCTTCTCGTACACCTACAAAATGAAGTGAGCATTGGAAATGGGGGCAAGTGGAAGGTGCGCACCTTGCTGAAGAGACCCAGGGACGCCTGTTGTGTCTCGTTGATCTTCAGCCGAATGGTCTCAGCATCAACGGAGGGATCAGCAGCCTGTCCCTTGACAGCAAGCTCTCGCAGCTCTGTGATGAGCTTAGCGACCTTCTCCTGTTCAGCTTTATCGATCTGGTCCTTGAACTCATTCATAGCTACGAAAAGGTTGAGATTGGGAACTGTGTCGAAAACCGGCTTTCAAATTGAATGCTTACCCTTCTCAGTATCAGCGCAAACAGAGTCGGCCTTGTTGGCTTCCTCAATCAAGTTCTTGCGGAGCTTGTCTGTCTCAGCGTACTGCTCGGCATCAGAGACCATCTTCTCGATATCCTTTTCACTGAGACCGGAGGAAGAGGCGATGGTCATGGACTGATCCTTGTTGGTAGCCTTGTCCTTGGCAGAAACGTTGACAATACCGTCTGATACATTCGTCAGTGAGGACTAAAACGAGAGCAACAGACTATGCCACGTACCGGCATCAATGTCGAAGGTAATTTCGATTTGAGGAATGCCCTTGGGAGCCGGTGGAATGCCGACGAGGTTGAAGTTGCCGAGGAGCTTGTTGTCCCGGACAAGCTCACGTTCACCCTGGTAGATTTTGACCTCGATGGCCGTTTGGCCGTCGGCAGCGGTCGAGAAGACTTGCGACTTTTTGGCAGGGATTGTGGTATTACGGTTGATAAGCTTAGTCATGATACCACCGAGGGTCTCGATACCTAGAGAAGTAGACCTGAGAATGAGGACGACAAACACAGAATTCAAATACACACCCAGTGAAAGAGGAGTGACATCCAGGAGCAGAATGTCCGTAACGTTACCAGCCAAGACACCACCTTGGATGGCGGCACCCTTGGCCACAGCCTCATCGGGGTTAACACCCTTGCTGGGCTCCCGACCGAACACAGACTTGACGGTGTCACCGACGCGAGGCATACGAGTCATACCACCGACGAGGATGACTTCGTTGATCTCAGTGACCTTGACACCAGCATCATTGAGTGCCTTCTTGCAAGGCTCGACAGTGCGTTGAACCAAAGGTGCGACCAAGCTCTCGAACTGTGATCTCAATAGCTTGGTGTTGATATGCTTGGGACCGGAAGCGTCGGCAGTGATGAAAGGCAAGTTGATCTCCGTTTGTGTTGTTGACGACAGCTCGATCTTCGCCTTCTCTGCAGCTTCACGAATACGTTGGATAGCCATACGGTCTCCATTGAGGTCAATTCCGGACTCCTTCTTGAACTCCTTCAAAATATGATCAACGAGGAGGATGTCGAAATCTTCACCACCCAAGTGGGTGTCACCGTTTGTTGACTTGACCTCAAAGACCCCCCCTTGCTTTTCCAAGATGGAGATATCGAAAGTACCTCCTCCGAGATCATAGACAGCAGTGACGGATGATTCACTACGGTCCAAACCGTATGCCAGGGCAGCAGCGGTGGGTTCGTTGATGACTCGAAGAACGTCTAGTCCAGCGATCTGGCCGGCATCTTTGGTAGCCTGCCGTTGGGCATCATTGAAGTAAGCAGGGACAGTGACAACGGCATGGCTGTCGTCGGAATGTCAAAATATGTGTATGAGACACCGGACACAAAACTTACTTGACTTTTTTGTTGAGATATTGCTCTGCAGTTTCACGCATTTTGGACAACACCATTGAAGACAGCTCCTCGGCAGACTAGATGTAGAAAATTAGGATAACAGATACACAACGACAAGACAACACTCACGAAGCGCTGCTTCTGACCACCATTTTCTACCTCCACAGCTGGGCGGCCATCAGGCTTGGCCACGACAGTAAAGGGCCTTTCGGAAAGGTTTCGGTATATAGCGTCCAAGAATAAAGTTTCTGCTCACCAGTGCTTCATGTCTTCCTTGACCTCCTTGTCGTTGAACTGCCGCCCGATTAGCCGCTTAAACGCGAATACGGTGTTGGCAGAGTTGACGACAGCCTGACGCTTGGCGGGTAAACCGACAAGACGCTCGCCGTGCTTGGTGAAAGCGACAACGGAGGGTGTTGTCCGAGCACCCTCAGCATTCTCAATCACTCGCGACTCTTTGCCCTCCATCACGGAAACGCAGGAATTTGTCGTTCCCAAGTCAATACCGACGACAGGGCCTATAGAAGGTTTGCTGAGCTGGACAGATCTTGAATAAAGGCAGCTTTTGCGTACCGTTAACTTTGGAATTCATATTCCGCGCAATCATGGCCCGGGGAATACCCTAAGAAATAATAAGACTTGGAAGGGACATAGAAAGTAGATGCATACCGCATAACGGCCAGTCCTGGAGACGGAGGAGCGTAGAGAACGAACAGCGGTGAACATAATGTGGAAGGATGAGAAAACGCAATTCCGGTCTTGGTCAAAATTTTTTATCAAGTTATGTAAGCGTGCCGGCCCAACCCGAAAATTCGAGAAGAAGATGACAAAGCGCAAGCCTCTTTGAGAATTGAGTGAGTAAAAGTCACTGTGGACGACGAATATGTTGATAAACGAAATAATTCTTTCAAAGCATCATTGAGTCTTACCAGCGCATCCCAGACTGCCCACCCGTTTTCCCTTTCGCATGGTTTCATCTTATCTTGTGGTTATACGTCTCAATGAGTATACCTGGCTACCATGTCTTTTCCTGAGCCGTGTATATTGGTGACAGTCATGCAGCAGTTTTCGCCTGGGTGCTATACACACACATCGTGTTTGGACCACCACCGGATCATATGGCGCTCTTCCATGCGTGTGTGTACGCCTGGACGAGTGTAGCGTCACCCAGATTACAGGATTGAGGGAAAGCTTTCATCTTTCTCTTCTCCAGAGTTGAATATTCGGCGGTCACAATGTGTGCACACACGCCCAATGATATCACCAAAGCGGAATCTATCAACTCTAAACTGTTATGGAACTAGCGTCTTTATTTTCGTACAGCATGCACTATATTCAGGTCCTACGAGATGTAAGTGTATGATATGTTATATGATATAAGTTAAGTCTTCAGTGTTCCCACAATGACTTTGGAATCTCGAGTTCATGCGAACTGTATGTTCCAAACAGCTGCGACTACAACGAAAATTATAGCTGTCCATGACTGGCTGAACACCTCCGCAGAATTGGTTTCGGACAACTGATAGGAAAGTCAGATCATGAAATACCGTTTGAGTAATAAAACACTCACAGCTAGGGTATTATTTCCATTTCCGAGTCCTAGATGGTTCTTTGCAGCAACGTATGGCTGCAGCCCATCGATGGGATTAGGTATGGGTGCGGGAGACGCTTGGGCCGTAATAGCTGGGAAGGAATTCAGTAAGTGCACAAGACAGTCTAACTAACTTTTGTTTACCAAAGGACAGCATGAACGCGATAAAAAGAATGAAAAATACGCGGACAGAGATCATCATGAAAGGAGGACGTTATGAGCTCGGCTCTAGTTCAAGAAGTGAAAATGGGTTTTCTGATACTCACAGCGATTACACCTTCGCTTTTATAGTGGGCTCTTCATCTCAAAGAGGAAGAGGAAGCTTTGATCTTTGAAAGGGAAGTCCTAACTGAGAACAAGGCCGAGGAAGTAACGAGGAAGTAAGGAATTTTTTGGTCGACGGAGGGAGTCGATGTATTTCCGGCAACTTTGTATTTTGGTTGTAACAGTCGGGTCCCTACTGGTATCACGATAATTGAAACAAATACTGTTGTTAAGGGATATCCTGTCCTGCGGTGATATGATTGCTTGCCGATTGCAAACTTGCACCACGATGCGCATGTCATCGACATAAACTGCAATAATCTCAATGAATTCCTATCCTCCTGAACTGCTGGTTCAGCTGGCACCGGTCATGTTCGTGGCCGGCCTCGATGCTCCTTCTCCTCAATCTCCAATCGATGCAGCGCCAACGAGACTCCCGGATCCTTTCACCCTTCTTACTGCTCGTCTTCGTGAAGCCTTGCTCTCCCAGCGCAAAGTATCCATCTGGCAGCCCGACAAGAACAAGTCATTTCAAGTCCTTTTGGTCGACAAGGACATCCGCTTTCCTCCCCGGAAAATCGGGCCTCAGGACGACTCGCAGCATGCCGTGCCGCATTCTCCCCTCTCTCCATTGACGCCTTCTTCCCCTTTGTATCCTGACGGGCTCATCGCACCCATCTGGATTCGCAAGCATACAACTCTGGTGCCGTCAGTATTCGTGTTATTCCTGCGCCTCTTCGAATTTCCCCTACACAATCTCCGGTCGCCGTTGGACGCTCCAGATCCTGATCGCGAGAAGGACAGGGAGCAGGAAGAGCGGAAGCGGGATGGAGAGCTGGCTTCATATGTCGCGTCGAGGAAAAAGTCTACTAATGAGCGCAACATGAAGCTTACCGTGGTCCTCATGGCGAGCAGAAGGATGCTAGGTGCGTAACCATCGGCTCATACTGTATCTGTTCTCACCAGCATCAAGACGATCCTGCACTGGATGCTAGATTAACCTTTATACGAAAACAGAGTGGCCTTGATGCCAGAGCTGCTTTGTTTGTTCTTAGCCCCGTAAGCTCCTCGGAATTGGGCGACTTTGTACAGAGGTAAGCATGGTACCCTGAATGGTACTCTTGCTCACTGTGTAACTAGCCTTCAGCAAGCGTTGTACGAACCGGCAGTGGAGTATTACACTTCACATTCCAAGCGTGTCAGGCGTAAACGGAACCGTCACACCCAAGCCGTATCATCATATTCAAACCCTCTAAGCCCTGTCGGCCATCCTGGAACCATACGGCCTCTGCGTCCGGAAGGTTGGACTGTTCGGTATGAATACAAGATGGCTTGCTTTGCCGAGTTCCGAGGGGAAGATGAAGTCGCTCTCAAGTAGGGCATCCAGTTTCGTCAAAATCGCACTCTTATAAGTTTATAGACACTATCAGGACGCGTACGAGGTTCTTGCCGTGATGTTCGGTTCCATGTCAATTCTTCCACCCCGCACCAAGCGATGGGCTGAAGCCAAAGTACTTGCTGATTGTATCAACATCAAAGTCCGTCAGTCATCATCCCTATTGTCTTAAAACGGTCAGGCGAACAGAATTGCTAGATAACAAAGCTATACCTGTATAACAACGAACACTCCCTGGCATTGTCCCACCATACCACCCACATCAGAAAGTTTGGTGATCTATCACGGGGATGGGGGATTGGTGAGGAGACTTTCGAGTATTGGAGTTGGGTGGCTCGACAGTACGTGTGCTTTGGCCTAATGCGTCGTGTGACCTTCTCTGATACACTTATTAAGGTACCGTATTCTCGCAGAGCTATTGGAACAAGGGACGCATTCAACGCTCTCTCTCCCCTCTCATCGTCCTGTTGCTTATAACACCGCCCTCTATACTTCTACGGCTCAGAATCCATCCAGCTCTCGAGGGTCCACTCCCGCGTTAGAAACGGATGCATTGCGATCTTTGGGATTGAATCCGAGCTATGCTTTGCAGCATCCAGGGTTCTATTATTACATGGCTGCCAGATGCACAGAAATGAGAAGAGAACGCTTCCTCATAGCGTTGGACGCCGAGGTAGGTATTCGTTTCCATTCAAACTTTTGTGCCTTCATTGATTGGATCATGGGCAACTGAACAGGGCGTCTCCAATTCACCAGGCTTTGCAAACGAGAAGAAGGTCGATCACCTTGTCATTATTCTCGAGGTAAGATATTTTCCTGCATCTTGATGCCATGCTGACGATGTCTCCGTACGCAGTTGTACACCAAGTCATATGAGCTGTTCAAGAAATATACCCCAAGCTCTCAAGGTCAAAGCCAAGCTCGGCTGACCCTCTGGATCGCATATCGCATCGGACAAACATATTTTGATTCTGGTAAGTTTGACATGGCGATCCGGTACGTAGAATCAATGTCGGTTACGGCGGATTGCGGTTAAAGATTATGCAGCTTCTTTGAACGAATCGCGAAGACATACCGCCGCGAGAATTGGGATCCTATGTTAAGGCCGCTACTAACGACGTGGTACGCTTGCGTTCAGCAACTCGGTGACGTAGAATTGAGCGTACGGCTGCTCATTGAAATGTTAGGGCATGGTCGGCTTCATCCTTGCCGTTTCTCTAGTGCTTCTTCCTGATGTTGTTTTGATGTAGGCGTCGACGAATCAGAGGAGCCAGAAACACTTCAGGATGATTTGCTTGCGGTTCTAAAGGTTAGTCCTAGTACCAAGACTATTTTTTGACTGCATGATCACCATTAAATAGAGCACGGTACCCTCATCGCCGGATGAACCGTTCATTATCGACCTTTCCGGATCGCAACCAATATGTTTGTCTTTCCCCCTGATTCTTACCAAGGAAAAAAATCAAAACTTAGCATTATCCTAGTTGATTCCAATGTCGTTTTCTGGACTCATGAAGTGAAGGTCGGACAACCCGTTGCATTCCAGGTCTCAATCACTGCGCCTTCTGACGTGGCGATATGCGAGCTCCCTTTCATGTCTTTGTCCATTCGATTTTCAGACGATACTTTGCCATTGGTTCTTCTTCAACATTCAGGTGCCGAAATAGACGAACCGTCCAAGGTTACTCATATTAACCTTGGACATATTTCCAAGACAGGCACGGATGTGCCGCCTACTTTAAAAACAAATTTGCGATGGAAACAGGATTCGACCCTTGTATTGTCAGGAACATTCTCATCGGAGGTCCCAACAACGCTCAAGGTCAGTTGTCCTGCCCGTTACATGTGACACGATGTTAATGTCCTAATTCACCGTAGATCGAGGAGCTTCTCTTGACGTTGACAGAGGGTACATGGAATATCCAGATACCAATGGATCCATGCAGTTATAGACACAAGATCCTGCCTACGAGCAAATGGCTAGCTTCGCTGAAGCCTCTGAAATTCATCAATGTCAAACGTGAAAATTCATCTTCTATGATGTGAGTTCGCAATATATACAATCCGTTGAGCCCCGTTGACATGTTCATTAGTGTTCGTCATCGCTCCCATAATGTTTTATTATCGTTAACGCACCATTCGCCTGCGTGTATCGACGAAGTATATCCCATTTCCATCGAGGTTACGAATGCCGATAATAGAGAGCTGGAGGTCACAATGGATATACTTTTGCAGCCCACAGAGGTCGACGATGCAGGTACGCATGCATACATGCAATTAAAGCTCGAGAGGCAGCTGACACCATTTTGCAGTCAACTCGATAACTCTTGATGACGAGCAATCCTCTGGTCTTATCAAGGGCATCTCTTTTGGCGTCCTTATGCCAGGCGTGAGCTCAATCAAAACCTTGAATCTCTTCAACACAGGCGGTGCTGGGGATAGGATGATTGATATATCCATTCAGTCACGGGTATCGTCGAGAGATGATCCTAAGGAAGATTTGTCGAAGTCGGATATGGAAGATGTGTCAGAGATTCTACAGACGCTGACAGTACCTACTGTCAAAGCGCTCAAAGTCACATATGACGTCGCATATAGGCGTCATTTGGATGAGCGGCTGGGGTTAGCGGATTTGAGAAGGTTTGAAGAAGACTTTTGGGATGATGGTGAAGCAGGAGAGGCTCTTGTGACTCTCAGGTTGGAGTGTGCGGGGCCGTGGGCCTTGGAGTTGCAGAAAGTTACTCTTGAAAGACAGGTGCGATTCAGGCAAGATGCTGGCCAATGCCTGATTTAACGCGCTTTACAGAACAATGATGGTGCAAAAGTTTTGGAAACATCGACCGATATGTTCGATGAAGCGGACTTCTCCTCAGGTATGCTACCGTGCTCTCATCTTGATTTAATCTTAACTACGGCTTTAGAATATGTTCCAGGCGACGAGTTCTCGGGCTTATGTCGGATAAGCCTGCAAGGGGGTGAACAGTATATTCCTGGACCGGGTACCTATCTGGTCCAGTGGTGTAGGTACGCACGTTCGTCAGCCACTTGACCCTGAAAACTAATAAAAATTCTGTAGAATACACGATGACGGAACAAGAGGATCGACTTCAACGAGTGTATTCCCACTTCCTTCACTGCGACTGCCTACCGATGGCTTGGTTGGACTCCTCCAAATATCTCCTGTTGCTCGACTACACCAAGCCCTCCCACTAACACTGAGAATATGCAATAATCATCCTACGCGATCAGCGACTTGTACCGTCCATGTGGAGCCCGACCCATCTGATGGGTTTGTTATCGCTGGTCTGCGTAGCGGTAGGGTTCCTATCCTCTTGCCAGGGACGGAGGAGAAGATACTTTGGAATTTGATTCCCATTGAGTGTGGGTATATCAAGCTCCCGAAGATAAAGGTCGTTGATCACAGGAAATTGATCATCAACGTACAAGGAATAGGCGAAAGTGAGGTGGAAGGCCAGGCGGTCAAGATTGTCGATGTCAGACTTGATCGGAGAAGGGAAAGTGTAATTGCTGAGAGTAACGAGACGGAGCAGGAGGGCGGGAAGAATACAAGGCCTCCAGATCCGGAGAATGACTCCGAGGAAATATGGGGTACTGTGCTTGTGCTACCGTAGCCTTTGTAAACGTCGATGGCATTTCAAACATATATGGTACACAGTTTCCATCAGTGCTTCGAATCGTTAGGGTATAGTCATTATAATCATAAGAGCTCATGCGAGCCAGATCAGTAATACTTGAACGTTTTTCTAGAATCACCAGTTTAGACGATGGGTCGGCGAGGCGAGAGCCTGAGCGTGAGACGCTTACCTACGAACACCGCAGCAGAAGCACGCTCTGGCAGAAAGGGTTATTACCGCAATCCACGTCAAAACCACGGCAACCAAGACCATCCAAATTCCGTTGCCAAAATCGATACCAAGGTCAATCTGACTTGACAAGCTTGGCAGCTCCTTCTTGAGGGTCAACACTAAGGCTAGATCCACCCCAAATACGACGGTTCCCAGGAGTGCTGTGGTAATTGAGATAACGAGGGCCATAATGGCTAGCGCATGCGATCCAAGAAACATAGCTGGGATGACCGCGGCGAGAGACAATCCCGCTGAAACGAGATGAAGGATGAGGATGACCAGGAGACCCTTCAAAGCGGCCTGGACGAGGCTTGCATCCACATCCAGGAGCTCGGTTACTGATGATGGTACATCGTAACCAAGCCTTGGGCCAAAACACTCTCCATAGCCCAATGCACTAGGAATTGTTTCTCAGTCTGGGACGAGGGATTGTATATAGTAAGATCCTCACCTTAGTGCACACACACCCCACACTCCGAACCGCAGCTCTGTCGCAATGCTTGTCGCCGGTTGGTCACTCTCAGCCGTCGAATAGACTCGGACGAGGTATATGGTTTTGATTATGGGCAAGGAAATACCGACGAGGAACAGAAACAGGAAAGCAACGAACAGGAGCGCTAAAGAGACTATAGAAATCTCGTGATGAACGACGAAGGGCCTGTAGTGAGGCTTCATGCTGGTGGAAGGATCAGTCGATGCATTTCATGGCGTATAGGAGCTGACATTATACTACCTGCAATGTTGGACAAGTCACCTGGTGGTCTTCAGCGATCCAACGAACGAACGTAGAAAAGGAAAATGAGGGATCTTGACTAGACCCTGCTGCGTGGACTCATTTGACTGATTGGAGAATTCGAAGCTCCATGGTGTGAACAACTGGCGATCATTCGGTAATACTTAAATGCAGGTGGCTAACCACATCAAGAAAGGCGGGCCCGCACTACGTTTGGTAGTTTTTCTTTGGACCTGCTTCAGATGGTCCATAGGAAAAGCAGTGATTTTAGTACACAACACCAATTAAATTGAATAAATGTACAACACGCGACTTAAGAAAGTGAAACGGAATAACTGGTGGTCATTAGCTCGGCGCTACCGGTGAACGGCTCAGTCCCTGATTGGATTGCCTGGACATACTACGTTATAGGAAGATCAACGGCTCGGCGTATCCCGGAAATGCGTAAAACGTACTTGAGTCGAAGGAACTCCTTGTTCAGCAACAAGATAATCTAGCATCTGCTTCAGTACGGTCATGAAGGAACAGAATCATTAATGGACTTCACCGAAGAAATCTTTCAAATCCACGGTGAAATTGTGGATTTCCGTGGGGCTCACGAAGGAGATAACCTGCCAGTTTGTATTAGGTCCTTTCCAAATATTCCAGGAGTGTCCGGCGACGATTGTATTGGTAGTAATTTGAGAACCGACGGGTTGGATGCTGATCAAAGAGCTTCAAGAATGGTACTTAAGTACATGCACCAAGCGACTTACCCTCCGAGACCTGACAACCATATCATACTGCACGGAAAGATGAGAGAGTCAGGGAAAAGTAAAGTCAACTCTCACATTTCGTATGAAGACGCAGTAGACGCCGGGTCGCCGCTTGATGCTGCTCCGAACCAGATATCGTATCTATTCACTTATTATCGATCGACGCTCGATGGCATCCATACTCACACAACTTACGAGACATCAGCGCGAATACCGCTTGATTCGGTTATGTAGTTCCAATTCCAGATAGTGGGGGCAGCAGTAATACTAGCCAACTAAAATGCTGGTCAGATGAATTTTGACACACTACTTAAACTTGACGGTGGACCTGCTTGCCCTTGCTCGTCGTCGACTCGACATTCGCATCTTCCATCATCCATCAACAACGGAGTTGGATTATTTGAAAGAATGGCCTACTTACAGCTTTTGACATTATTGGGGTTGTTCTGCCAGGTCCAGGTAGTCGACCAAGAAATGTTATTTCCGCTTGTACTGATCAATGTTGACGTCTGGTTTCCAACGCCGCTTTCTACATCCTCTCGTTAGTTTTAATCGACAAAATACATCCGCAACTCACCGGCACCCCACAAGTTCTGACAAAGAGAATATTGACCACTAGTGGCGCAATCGTACTGACAAGACAGTGTTTGACAGCTAGCAATGACAGACAAGGTAGAGAGCACCAGCAAAGAAGATATAAGCATGATTGAATGTTGAAAGCACAATGATGAAGCAAAGGTTTCTAGTACATCACAGTGGATTTATATCTCGGAGCAAAGCAGAGTTTCCTCCGTGGGTAGTGAGTGCAACTTAATCATCTTCGCCCCAATCATGATGTCCGAAAAGCATCGTTCATATCCACGGTTCTTGCGCCATCCGAGTATGTACAGAGAACTTGCCGCATCCCAAGTCCTAGTGTGTAGTGCACAGAGCAATTGAATTCAAACTGGCAGTGTTACTCGGATAAACGGGCCGAACGCCACCCGCTTGTATGTCTATCAACCCGACATGCGGCCTTGCAAGATGCACACTGGAACATATTGGCATGACTGCATCCTAGGCACTTCGACTTGAGGTCTAGCTGCTCTCGATATCAAACAAAGGGCCTGCAGCTCTTTCATTGTCGGTCCTTTCTCTCGCTCGTTTAGTGCGTCTGCAAATGTTTCATAGTCAGATATGGACCGAAAGAACGGCAGAATTTCGGACTATCAGGAAACTCGGGAGCTTCTTCCTCGATTAATGGTTGCTCCAGGAAGTGGTGATCACAGGGTAAACGGGTAAAAAGCATGTGACAACACAGTGGAAACCAAAGTTTTACATTGATACTAATATCCATGGGTTCATTGCGGCTGAATTATTGTGCATTATCGTGCGAATATTCTGTTCGGCCACAGTATCATGGCTGATGTTCGGAGTATGTTCCACTGTTTGGCTGTTATGATACTATATTGAAGGATGACGAGTGGAAGTCCTCGAACCTAAGGATAGTGAGGCGTGGTCAGTGAATTACTAGTAGATAGGGTTAGTAGTATGTATAGCTCCACATTCTAAGTTTGTGGCATAAATGGGTGAAGTTTGAACGGAGTACGGTATATATAGCTGCGTGTGGGCCAAACGTACATTAGTAGAATATTTTATCATTATTTTGCATAGCCAGACTCAACCATATTGACTCTAGAAGAATAATAAGAATACTGAGCTGTTGTCTGCTGTTGCTGTAGCTTCTCGGCATGCCAAGACAAAAATATATTTGAAATACGATCTCAAATCCGATCGCATTGTTTGCTTGTGTCGCAGGAAGCAAACACCGTCGATGGGATGCAACTTCGTCTGCAACCGCCATGCTACCGAAGGCAGGTGCTTTCCTGTCCTTCCTGTCCATGCTTTTGTATGTTGTAGTTGCTGATGATGCCGGGTATGTGCATTCCACGTCTCTTTCTTGTCCATATATCTCAAATTCACAGTTTGGACGCTGATCCATACTTGCAATATCGGCCAGCATATGCTCGCTCGCTTCCAATTCAAATCCTGCTCACCGGCATCGTCTTGACCCTTGTCGCTGTCCTATTTATTCATCTCATATTCACCGCCCAGTATCATTGGCCACTGGCCCCCGTCAACTATGTCTTGCAAATATCCGGTGTCACTACCCTCCTTATCTCCCTCATTGCTACCCTCCATGTTGTACTCTCTGCAACACTGGAAGAAAGTCAAAAATGGCCATATATGCTATCCTATATCGCCGTCAATGTCCCCCCGATGGATACGAGTGAGACGAGTATATGGACTAAGGCCGAGCTAGCAACATGGCTAATCATGAACGCTGCAACGTCTGGACTCATTCAGGTGCATCATTTACTCTGTCTACGAAGAATACCTGTACTGAGGCCTACAGATAACGCATATACAATTCTTGACACTTTTATATCCTTCTCGACTGGAAGCAAGACTTATCTTTTATCTGCTGAGTGCGGCACAATTGTCCTATCTCATTGACAGTCAGCTTATTTCATTTAGTACCTTTGGCTGTGTTGGCTGCCGTCATGCAGCTCACACCAATATCAGGCGGCCTTGGAGTAATAGATGTCGCCACGGCTATTCGGAATGTCTGCAACGCGACACTATCTCTTTTGTTCACGGTTGCTCTTTTTGTCTGGGGTATACTCGTGAATCGCAAACAGGCCTGGCGTACGGATGGCGGTACCGCGGCCTTTGGTTGTGCCGCTCTTTCACTGGCCCTCGTTAGTACAGCTCTCAATTTTCTGTACATTCCAAGGGAAGAAGAATACGTCTGGCTTCCGGGTTTGATGTGGGCGGTCGTGCTGTGGCAAAGTTTCTTAGGGTGGTGGTGGTGGGTTGGTGCAGGAACTGGAGCGAATTATGATTTTCCACAACGGAGGGAGGGGAGACGGCAAAAGAAAAAACGAGCCTCGAAAGAGCATCGAAAAGGAACCCGGGAGCGCGCGCAACTAGTATGGCGCGGCGTTACGGGTGCTTTCGGTGTCCGACAAGAAGGAATGGAGATGACTTCAACAATAGTTCGCCGCCGTTCGGTACCACATGCTCCCGATTCTCGTTCGATGTCACCGGAGGCGCCTAGGTCTCTTTCGGAAGATCGTCATGCAACTTCATCATCTACCGCTTCGTTTACATCAAACGGAACTCTTCCACGCATTCTTCCTGCCGCAGTCTACCGCTGGTATACACTGCTCCGACAAGCGCACGTAGCTGCTACTCGACAACAAGCCATCGAACGCGCAGATCGAATACGAGAGCTTGAAGAGGCGGGTGCGCCGAACTTGGCTGACACAGGCTGGGGCCTGGGCAGTTTCGCTTGGAGATCGGGAAGGGTTAGGCAGCATGGACGTACGCAAGAGCGTGACAGGTATCCCAGACGGAATTCCCAGCAGGAACAAAACGAGGCCGCTTCTTGCCAAGAAACTGATGTAACATCGGTCGGGGAAGATAGCCATGACGAAGAGGATCGTCCAGATAAGACCTCAGAAACAATGAAGCGTGAAGTGGTCCGTCATCGTCAGTCATTATGGTGGTGGGGCCCTTTGGGTCGTTGGCGCCTTCAAGATTCGACCGTCTATTAAGTATTTCTGGTATGTGCCATCTGTGTAATATAGGTGTACAATAAGGATTATAGGCACTGGCATATATCAATTTGGGTAATTAACATTTATGATACATGTACCATCTAACAAATACATCACTTACCGTACCACATGGTTTGATCGAATCGTTTTGTGATAATAACACTTGCACATGTAAGAGATGAGTAAGGGCATATACCAGTGGTCTTCAACTAAAGAGGCGTATTAGTGGGTTATGATTGCAGTGAGAGGAAAATAGTGGGAGGCCGCCAGGAATACTGATTTGCGGAATATTGATTTTTGTCGGCGACCCCCTTGCACCTTTACTTACGCGGCGGAAAGACTTGTTTGATAAATGCTTCCCTTCTGGTCCGCCTTTATTTGGGTATGATTAAACTACTGTGGGTATATCATTATGTTCCTAACTATCCGTAGTACCACTTATCCACTATGTAACATGAATGTACGCGTACCCTCACTTGAATCTTTTGATTATAATTACCTCGACATCGTTGAGGGGAGAAGATATCCCGAGGGTGGGGGCGTTCAAGTCGGGTCGTGGTACATTTGCACCTTCCGCCAACTTGATGTCATACTTGAACAAAAGAGCCCCAACGAATGAAAGAACCTCGTATGAGGCAAAGAATCGACCGGGACAGAGGGATACTCCTCCGCCAAACGGCCGAACTAACTTCGCATCACCCCTTATGAGACCATTCGCAGGTTCTCGAATGGACCTATCTGGAACGAACTCCTCGACGTCTGGTCCCCAAATGTCTGCATCCCAGTGTTGCGGACGAATAGGGCACTTGACTGCAGCGCCTTTTCGGAAGTTGTAATCAGATATGATGGTGTCTTCCATGACAAGTCGGGTACACATTGAAGATGAAAAGGTACGAAGAGTTTCGTTGAAGGTTGAACGGAGGAGGGGGTCATTTACTAAAAGCTCCACATCGACAACCTTCTCATTGCTATCAAATGTGGTAGTAATCGACTTGCGAATGCGATCCGCGAGTCCAGGGAATGTCGCAATCTGCAGAAGAAGCCAAAAGGAAGCAGGATTGGAGTTGGCCTGGAGCCTGGTGTGAGATGTCATGATACGCGTCAGTATATTTCGATGCTAGTCACAGAGTCATAGGCACTTACGCATTCCATATAGTAAATGTTCCAGCGCTGATGTCATGGGCAGCCGTTGTCCCAGCCTCAGCCATCATCCTTGGTAGCGCTTCTACCCACCAGATGACATCCTTTTGTTTCGTTTTGCTATCCCGGTAGACTCGTTCAAATGAGCTTGTCCCTGTTTGCATTTTGCTTTCTCAACAGAAAGTTAGGAAAGCCCATTACAAACGTCTGCATTGAACTGCCAGTTGTAATCGAGAAGGTTCGGCTCTTCCTCCAGTATCGGTGGGCCCATCATGACGATGGTTGACGCTGTGCCTAGTATAGTTCTGGCCCAGTCATGCAGTAAGACCTTCATCCCCCTGGGGATGCATTGATTTTGGCGTCCTCTTTGATAAGTTCTATGCGGAGGCATTCAAGGAAGGAGGTGATAAGCTCGTTCAAAGCAGGTCCCTCCTTCAGAGTACTACGACAGAATGGATGAACGCTTTCTAACAAAGAAGAATGAGGACCATCGTAGTCGTATGCGATCATGTCTCTGCCATCTTTCGAAATGTCGAACATGGAACCAGGACCGTAGAGGACTAGAAGCGTGAACAAGAGACTTTTTGAGAGATAGACTACCGATACATCTTTGCTCGCAGTGACGATCTGAAGGCGAGACATATTAGGGAGCATCGATAGTGAAGATACGGAGATACATACATATATTCGTTGCCCCATCAACGTTAACGAGACTGGTCAAGCATCGGGAGAAAACATTTTGCAATGGGTTCTGTGATGGGGCCCCTAGAAGGATGAAGAGGTAGTGACGAACCTTGTTGCATTGTATACCTCGATAGATCTTCGGCGGTACCACAGAGCATGACCCACAAAAGGAATCAGGTAAGAAAGGATGGGTGGTTCATTGAGCGCTTGCCCCAGGGCATTGCGTCGGTGATGCAGTGCGAAAATCGCGCCTATGCCAACGACGAGGATGGTGACCCAAGCATCGACGGTGGTAGACATGGTCAGAGTGCTGCACGTGTAGCACTATGCACTCCATACTCCTGAGCCATGCCAGGAAATTTATTTAGGCCGTGTTTGACGCTTCGACAGGCGCGATCGAAAAGGCCCAAGGGTGAAAATTGTTTTGAACCTTGTTTGAACCAGAAAAATATTCATTCCAAATAGCGTACATCCACTTGAAAGGTCCTCCATAATGCCGATTTCAACCAAAACGCGAAATGTACCATGGATTTGAGCGCATTGAGTTGTCGAACTAGCTGTGGACCATCCCCTATTCCTGCAGGATACTTTCGGTCGTGTTCAACAGATCATGGAACGCATCGGGAAAATACCATCTATTCTTCTGGTAGATTGCTAATATGGACCAGATGATTTAATCAAAATGTTACGCTTCATACGACCACGTTCGTCATGCTGTCTTATTTTTCGCAGGGGAGGTTTTGCAAAGCAGAGATTGGGACGACTGTAGCGTCGGAAAGGCCGTAAAAGGGGTGTCAGAAGCTAAAAGCTGGATCTAAGCGGTTTAGACGGGTTCCTGCGAGCATGTCTGATCTGTGATCCCAGGAAGCGCCCAGCTGATGAATTGTTGGCGCATCCTTGGTTGAAGGGAGTACAGATTATTGTTTTTAGCATGTGAGACGTGATGAGAAGGATGCATGGAATGAAATAGATAAATGATACGATGCTGTAGTGCGTATTGACATTGAAAGCCTGCATACAATAATCAACCATTGATAGTTATCAATGTGGGTACACATACAAGATCTTTGTCCATACACGCGAGACATGCCATGCCACGCCTATGCTGACTTTATCAACGAGAGATAACGCGTAAAAAATTCCAAGCAAAGGTAGTATCGCCAGTCGACATGTCACCTGTGAAGTTTTATTGGACATGGTGGGCTGGAAAGATGCTGAATGCGACGTACATCGTTCGGCGTTCGAATGACGCGTCTATGTGTCTGCCTTCAGCGGCGGTAGCCGCCACTTTAGCATTGAACGACGAAAGGGAAGCTGGTGCAGCGAGCGTAGCCTCAGATGTGAGAGGTGTTCGTAAAGATAGAGTGTACATGAATTAGGAAGAGAAGAGGAAGATTTGACTTGGCTATTGGCATGGACTGAGGCGTTTCCAGATGACGCGAGGTGACAGTAAAATGAATCTGTCAAATGCTATTCGTTCTCTTCTTGGACTTGGCCACGACGAAAGACCTAGATGTCGCGACAGAAATTCTTGTTGGCATTTTTGAGAGACAGATACGGTGAGAATGTATCACACTGCGGTCCTACATCGTCGCTGTCTTCACAAGTCTTCTTAACAGCACCAAGTATCTGGTATCTGATAATGCCGGATTTCTTGAGAATCTCACAGGAGCCACACAACGCACTAAGAAGAGACCGGTGGCGGACAAGTGGAAAGGTCTTCGGTATTTGCCGGAACCAACTTGTCATTCTTTTGGAGAACATTCCACAGCCAGTTCATCGAGACGAGTTAAACATACATTCGAATCATGTATTTCAAGTACATACGTAGTAAGATGCCTTAGTATTTGCTTCTCTTCGTTATAATAACCTCCACATCATTCAAGGGAGCAGAGAAACCGAGAGACGGAGTATTTACATTGGGTCGAGGAACAGTTTCACCAGCCGCCAGGCGAATATCGTATTTTAATAAAATAGCTCCGACGAACGAAATGATCTCGTTCGAGGCAAAGAACCGACCAGGACAGAGGGACGTCCCTCCTCCGAATGGCCGAGTCAGCTTTGCATCCCCCTTGATTAGGCTATTTGTAGATTCTCGAATGAACCTGTCTGGGACGAACTCTTCGACGTCCGGGCCCCAAACGTCTACATCCCAATGGTGTGGACGAGCTGGACACATGACGACGCCTCCTTTACGGAAATTGTAACCAGAAATGATGGTGTCTTCGGTCACAACTCGAGTAGAGACTGAGCCCGAGTACAGGCGGAGGATCTCGTTATACGCTGAGCGTAAGAGCGGGTCGTTCACCATGAGATCAACATTGGTGACCTTCCCTTCGCTGTCGAATGCTGGAGCGATTGACTTGCGAATGCGATCTGCAAGCCCAGGGATCGCTACAATATGCAGAAGAAGCCAAAAGGCGGTAGGGTTGGAATTGGTTTGAAGCCTATGGTCCAATCAGTATAGATTGCCAGCGACTGACAATCACCAACACATACCCATTCCATACAGGAAGCGTTGAAGCACCAATATCATAATCGGATGTCATCCCTGCTTCAGCCAACATCCTTTGACGCTCAGGTATCCACCAAATAGCATCTTGCTGCTTCGTCTCTCTATCCCTATACACCTTTTCAAATGCCCGGATAAGCTTTTCTCTATTTGCATATTGCCTTTTAATCAGAAATCGTGGGAGACCAATGGTAAACGAAACGATGTCCAAATCGAACTGCCAATTATATTTGAGAAGATTAGGCTCTTCCTCCAGTATTTGTGGACCCATCGTTGCGATTGTGGACGCGGTGCCTAGAATAGTCCTAGCCCAGTCGCGCAGCTGGACTTTCATCCCTTTGGGGGACACGTCGATCTTGGCGTCTTCTTTGTCAAGCTCCTTGCGCAGACAATCGAGGAAGGAGGCGGTAAATTCATTGAGAGCGGAACCCTCCCTCAGTGCATCACGATAGAACACATGGCTATTCTCCAGCAAAGAACTGTGATGACCGGGCTCATATGCGATCACGTCCCGACCTTCCCGTGAGATGTTGAAGACGGCTCCCAGACCCCAAAGAACAAGGTTATTGAACGAGAGGCTTTTCGCCCGGTAAACTGCGGAAACGTCTTTGTTCGCCGTGACGATCTAGAAAAGCCAATTGATCAGTAGATCGACTGCTCAAGCGGAATTAAACGGACGTATACACGCTGTCCCATTAGCGTTATTGATACAGGGCGTGAATCTGGAGAAAAAGTTCTACGGTGCATTAAGTACCACCGTTCCTATGAGGGAATCCAAGACAGACAGACCTCGCAGCCGCGTACACCTCGCTACTTCTCCGGCCGTACCACAACGCGTGCCCCACAAAAGGAATTGAATAAGGAAGAAGAGGGGGCTCATTGAGAGCCCTTGCCTGTGTGTTGCGTCGTTGATACAAGGAGAAAAGGATAGCTATGCCTGTAGCGATAAAGGCGACACAAAAACCGAGAATAGTCATGGGCGGTCGTGATCCAAATCTATGCGAAAGACACCTCGGCAATCGATTCCTTCGGAAATATTTGACTGAGAGGATAGTCTGAGACAAGTCGATCAGCTCCCGTTCACTCGACCCAGAGTGAGTTCGGTCCGTATGCTGATGTCGTACTATTTAAAATAAATATTATTAATGGTCAAATCAGGTTCCTTGAATTGAGTTGTAAAAAAACTTAATCCTCCGTTACTAACGGGGTCTTAAATAGGCCGCGCAGAGGAGTAGGAAGGTGTAGGGTAGAGTATATCGTTGATCCCCCTGAATCAGCTTAGCGTCTCCCCTGAGGACACCTTTTTAGAATGAACCGCGGCTCGTCCCAAAGTTCTGTGCTGTAGACTTGTAGCGGCGGATAGGTAGCAGCAACATAAGCCTTACGAAACAGATACCCCGACGTGCTGGTAAGCATCCTGTCGGATAGAAACCGTTGCCGAATATAAGCGAAGGTGACCTCGGGGAACGGAGAAAGGGTTCGTTGAAGTTGGCCGTTATCGTCGAACGCTGCTGCTGTGGCCTTACCAATGCGATCCGCTCTTAAGGCGAGTAACGGTGCGGATGAGAAGGAGCGGGAATCGCGTTGGCTTGAAGCTTGTCCTTTGCGAATAGCCTAATCACCGAGCAGGGAATCACCCATCCATGTGGTTACAGCACTATCTCTACCCACGTACCGGCTTCGATGGTGTTCCTGGATGCTTTTCGATCTAATAACTTCTCCTTCATTTGCGTGTTGTTGTATACATCCGTGAAGGCCCAAGCTTTCCGTTCTCCCCCGACCCAAGAATTGACGGTATCAAATTGTCGGATCCAGCTCCGACTCGGGTATATCATCGCAGTCCCCAAAATGGTCCTCACCCAGTAGCGAAGTGAGACTTTGACCAACTACGCTATTGGAGAGTCTTCCTGTTCCAGAGACACGAGCCCATTTTGGTCAATTGCTTTCCTTCCTTGAGAATCGCGAAGGAATGGATGCGAAGAGCTGGGCCCATCGGGCTGTCGGGCGATGGTATCTGACCCACCACCCCCCCTCCCCCCCGGGGATATGTTGCGTAGCGCCAAGAAGCCAAAGGATGAAACTGCTGCACGAGGGGATTTAGCATGGTATATTGCCAGGCTCGACGGAGCAAGTTAATCAATGATTATTACATACGTACACTTGTTGGCTTGTTATCAAGGCAGAATGAGCTGTAGAAGAAATCAGCGTGCTATTGGGTGAATGAGAAGTTTTTTATACCAAGCGCAGCTGTATACCTCATCTGCATTCACCCTAGAAAGGAAGCAGTTTGAATGATGCGATTCCATTACGATGTGAGTATTCCGTTATCAAAAACAAGACTCGGCGAACTCAGACATTGATCAGGATTAACGGAAACGAAATCTCACACCAAATTGCTATTACTGAAAGCGTATATTTCAAACAGAAAAGTAGAATACTAAGATGAGAGGTTACAACTTGCCTTTCTTATCAACATCAAACCCAATCTTTCCTTCAGCCCAGTCACGTATCAACACACCGGCAATGGCAGTCGTTGGAGGCACCCTGAATGGAGGTGTATCTATTGGCTTGGAGCCCAGATCGCCAGCACTCTTTCCATCATATTCATCGTTGAAAGTCTTAGGCGAAAGATTTGTTCCCTCGGGATGGTTAATGATAGATAGTATTTCCGAACGAGTATACCATTGCGCATCTAGAAAATAACAACAAGAGCTCACAAAACTGGGTCTGAATCATACCTTCTAGCTCGTTATCAAGATCTACTCTGATGGGCTCTGAGGCGTCTGCTCTGGCATAGAATCCAACCATCAGACTGGCAGGATATGGCTAGAGGATTAATAATGTTAATATGATACCGCATATAAGCAGCTAAACAGGTTCACCCATGGCTGGCCAGAGTGATATCGGATGTCCCAAACTTTGACGCCGGCCTCCTCCCACATTTCTCTTAAAACGGCATCTTCGAAAGACTCTCCTGGTTCAACGAAACCAGCCAAAGCAGAGTAAAACTTCCCGGGGAATTTTTTCTTATAAAAGGTATGAGATGAGCCCTGATAAAGGAGGAATATAACACCCACATTTCTGCCCAGCAGGATCCTATCTCCAGTTTCATCGACGGCAATCATAATAACCACAGGGTCACTGCGTGGATGCGTAAAGTTGTGGAGGCCCTTGCTATAGCAATGACTGAACAATACGTTCGGCTTCATACATAGGTGCCCACGTACGCTGTAAGACAAGGCTTTCTATCTGTCTTAGGTGCCCAAGGAAGCAAAGTCGAACAAGATAGTTTCCATCCTCCCCACATCGAATATAATGGAGAACCACATCCAGGGCAGAACTATCATCAGAAAAGGTCAATGAGAATCAACTGATTACCGCAATCAAACATACTGACCTTGTTTCTCTCGTTCCAGTCGACCATGGATCTCGCTTCTGCAAATATCCCAGACGTGAAAGTGTCCAGCTTATTCATGACAGAACGCGGTTCAGAAAACGACAACTTCACGCCATTGCTCGCAGTCTCTGTGTTAGTCAAGAACGCCTCCAGTTCTTCAGAGGACCTGTCCAGACTCGCGACGTCCAAAGAGAAGTATGCGGTTCCTTCAATGTTCTGAACGGCGGCTTTGGCATCGGCAAAATCGGACGAAGGCAGCGCGCCGGTCTTGTTATGGTCTTCGTGCAGACCGAGAAAAACGACGGGGCTGTTTAAATGACGGACTGCCTCGGTATGGGGTGTGACTTCATCAGCTTTTAGATATGCCCCGATCTCCTTTCCTTGACCAAAAAAAGGCTCCGATCCCAGGATCGGCTTTACCTCCTTCGTGCTCAAGTAGGCTAGGTATGGACCGGCTTCGCGCTGCCCTACAAGAGGAAATCCTGCGTTAAAGAGAATCCAGCGAGTCTGGGGTAATGCTGCTATCGCATTCAAGAAATCTTGAGAAGAACGCAACCAAGAGAGTCGATTCAACGGAGATCCTCCGAGAAAATTGACGTGTCTGTAGCGAAAACGTCAGGAGGGGCCACTCTAAATAGATGAAATACAGACGCATGGGCCATTCTGCTCAAATGATGGAGACGAGGTATGATAAAAGATGGTGGTGATAAACCAGCAGTTCATTGTGATTAGGAGGATTGGTAAGGATGAGCACCGCGGTCCGGTCCGACAGCGGACTACACTGACCACGTGCTAGCATCACGGTTCAATTTCCACTTGCTCAACGAACTGGCAGTGACAAGTTTCTGCGCTCTAAACGGTCATCGTCTAACGAAGGTCGAAATCGTCTCTTGGTATCAATCAAGGAGAATCAGCATCGCGATTATTATCTCGTCAACATCTGGACTTTGTGTTCGAGCTTGTACCTGTCTGCCTTCAGGTCCATTCAAAAAACCGAGATTTTACATACTGGCTATTTTAGAGCTCTACAAGCTCTGACAGACGCATCAAGACATCCCTATCCCATCGTTATGGATCCACTCTTGGCGGCATATATGAGTACATAGCAACGCCTCGGGAGCGCAGTATCGGCGGAACCGTCATATGCGTTGTCCTACATTGTCCGCGGATAATTCGCGCGAACAGCGGTAAACACGAGCTCAATTCTGGAAAGGGTGTCAGGTACAAGGAGTACAATTTTGGCGCGCTCTTCAGTAACTTTATCCACGGCCCTCAAAAAACCTTATGGAAACCATCCGTTGATCTACGATCGACTTGTTTGTCTGAACTGCTCGGAGATTATGCGTTTACTGTGGCTGCTGCCGGATAAATTTACCTTGAAAGATCTGTACTTGATCATCGTTCGTAAGCTGGCTGCTCCATTGAAACTTGACTGACATCTAGACAGCGACACTCTGAGTTTAAGCTTTACCCTGGAAACCTCATCTGCCTACAACTGAAACACTGCAGGGTTATTGAAAACACGCTTGTGGCGCGATCATCAGCAGTCTCGCCGACAGCCCGTTATCGGTGCCATTTTTTCAGCTAGAGTCCCATGATGATGGATCCTCACGAAGGTTTCAAAGAACATCTGATGCGGACATTTGTCCGTTTTTGTATCTATCCCCGGTCTTGGGAATATTTAAGTATTCCTGTACGGGTCACCTATTACTTCCTACGTCGCCATCATCATGTCTGCCCCCAACCCAACAGTATCTGAATCCCAGTACGAGGACGCCGAGAAATGGATTGAGGATGTGAGCAGGCAAATTCTTCGTTTACCTTTGATGCTAACGTGCTATCGTAGTTCTACCACTTGATGGGTAAACTTGACCTTTCCAAGTTCACGTCAACATATCTGAAGGAAGACGTTGCCTTCCACTTCACCAACCTCCCACCAATGAAGGGTCGAGAATCTGTCTCCTCTGTATTTGGATTATTAGGCGGCGTCTGCACAAGTATAACCCACAAGTACGTTCTCGACTCCACAATCTAGTCTGGACTACACACCTAACATCTGTCCTTCAGTGTGACCGACTGTGCGCTATTCTCATGTTTATAAGTCGATGTATAGCCTGGACTTATGAACGATACGCAGTAAAAGTTCTTTCTGATCGCATTATGGCTGCTAGTACCGTTGATTATGTTTTCATTAACGGTGAAAAGTGCAGCATGAATGCTTTTGCCATACTTCATAAAACGCCCGAGGTGAGGTGTCTTCTGCCTTTCGCGATGACAGACTCTCATTGCAAGCAGGAGGAGCAAGCCAGTCAATACTATATCTACGGAGACTTTACTCCCTGTTTCCAAGTACTCGGAAACCTGAAGGCGGCCGCCGACTCGGAGGCCCAGGAAAGTGAAGTGCCAGTGGAAGCATAGATAATTTTATTTGTTGTATCGGAGGAACGAGGAATGTACATCACTAACATACTACACCCACTCGTCTGTATTTCTCATCACCAGTCCTAACCTAAATACTACATGTCAATGAGACAAGAAAAATACTGTCCGTCTATCGCACCATTTGGTACGCGATGCCGAAGAAACGCAGCAGTAAATTGAGGTTCTTTTCCCGCGAGTCGGAGACGCCAGGCAGCTTGTACTCGGTTGCCAAGCTCTTACACATCGTGGCTACCATTCGGACGTATTCCGTTAGTACCTTGTCTGAAGCTAGTGGCGTTGATAGGACGCACCATCCAGGTCGAAAAGATCTTTCAGCGTGCGAGGATAGTCCTTACTTACTTCACCTTCCCCATCATCTGCATAGATAGTATTCAGCAATAAGTTTCCGTCTCTCTGGCGCAGCAATGAGTTTGCGCGTTTGCTCTCTCTGCCATTTCCGGTTCCGAGGTCAAAAGTTGGTGCGAATGAATTAAGTAAAACGTACGAATTGTGCAGACGTCGACGCTCCCGCTCCAAGTCACACTTGCTCTCCTGTACCTTGGCTTTGACAGCCTCGGGAGTATGATATTGTTCCAAGTGTTCCTTCACATGGATTTCGACGAGACGATCGATCTCTTTATTGACATCTTCCTCCACTGCAGGGACAATCACATGTCAGAAAGTCGAGTAAACGTCGCAAGGGGCAAGGTACAGATGCCTTACCCTGGGCCTTCAAAGTATTGATTATTTGGTTATCAAGAAAGTCGTCGAGGATCACTGAATATCCGGCATTGAAAACAGATCCGGGCTAGCGAAGTGGGCAATGCTCACATTTGATTTCCAGCAAGTCTTGTTGGCGCTTTTTGTCCTGATCAGAGATGTCATTGGTGATCCTGCCTCGGATCCGTGAGCATCAAAACCGAAAGTGGTAGCAAACTGAGGATCGCACGCTTCAATGTCTTTGGAAAGCTCAGTCTTGCTTCCTAGTATACCGACATGGTAATTGTAGTCAATCATCTTGTCCAACACATCCTGCGAGATGAAAGTGAGTGTACTCGTACCGGGTGAAGAAGTAAATCGCTGTTAATACATCCAGAGTTGTCGTAGCATTCTTAATTGCCGTAAAAGCATCCTTCGCAGTCATAATTTCAGGAGGTGGTAGAAGTGTCTGGTACGAAGTGGTCGACGAGACGGGAGTGTTCAATTGTTCCATTGCGATGGTGCTTCTTATTGCAACGAGATCAAGGTTTGAAGGTCTGTAAAGGCAACATGCGTAAGCAACGTGTTGAAAGAACCCTGATGTATTCGGGTCGCTTTTTACATTCCTTCTAGCTTTAAGGGGACGAGAAATATCTTTATATGGCTCTACTATTGATATATTGACAATTAGTCGCGTGCTTTTGTTGATACAAGTGGATAAAGATAATAATCTATTATGTACGTATGTCAGAATAAGCGCTCAGGGCGCGGGTTGTGCTTCGATCTGAAGCGCCTCTGCTTTGTACAACGGGGACTGACTCCGAGATGGAGCTTGTTTAGACGCATCTAGTTGAGCCGCCATTAAATCCCGGAATTTGGAATGTTCGCGATTGACCTGAGGTGCGTGTAAATAACTGAATGCATGCATTGGCTTGTAGAAATAAAACGTACAAGTTCGCGATATGATCCAGATTCCACTATGCGGCCATCTAGAACACAGGTTTGTATTAGCTGTGAGTATAACCGCCATCTTTGGTAGTACCACACACCTTCAAGAACCACTATTCGCTCGGCTCTAGCGATCGTCGACAGTCTATGTGCTACAAATAGACATGTAGTCTGTCGAGAGCGTAATATTTTGTCAACCGCATCATTTACCTAGATATCGATGTTATTAGAGCCAACTTCACACACCGTACCGCACAATTACCCTATGTTCTGAAGTGGCATCCAAAGAACTCGTCGCTTCATCCAGCGCAAGAATAGCCGGCTTCTTAAGTAAAGCTCTTGCAATCGCAAGACGTTGCCTCTGACCACCACTCAAACTCGTTCGACCAACTGCATGGATATATGGTAAAGATCTTCATGGCCAGGCACGCAAATATGTACTCACTCTCCGTGTCAAATCCTTTTGGCATACCCCATACGAACTCACAATTGGCCTCTCTTGCTGCATGCTCGATTTGTTCCCGAGTAGCCGCGGGATTCCCATAAGCTATATTTGAAGCGATCGTTCCCGTGAATAGAATGGGATCTTGTGGCACAACCCCGATAATATCGCGCCAAGATTTGACGGAGAACTCGCGTATGTCTATAGGCTCATGAGAATTCGTTCAGAAAAAAACCATTGTTCCATACCTTGTCCGTCAAAAGTGACCTTACCACTCACCGGATCGTAATATCGCAGAAGCAAGGAATGAATGGACGTCTTTCCACTTCCACTCTTTCCTCTGGAATGAAATGATTAGTGCGACATGCTAGGATAGACCAAAGGAAAGCATACACGACCGCGACACTTTCACCAATTCCGATTTCGAAATTAAGGTCTTTTAGGATCTCAACACCTGGGCGGCTTGGATATTCGAAACGAATGTTTTCAAACTTCACTATCCCACGCCGGCTGTGATCCAACGTGATACCAGTGCCTGGAGGAATCGCGGGCTTTCTGTCAAGTAAATCGAAGATACGAGTCCCTGCCCCAACGCCACGCATGATAGATGACTGAAAATAGATCCAGATAGGTATTTTGGATATATGAAATTGCACATACGAAGAATGTCCTATAGATGAATTTTAGTGATGTGATGAAGAGCAGAGGGGAAACCACATATACGTTATCATCTGTAATCCATTCCCAACGTAAACCGTATAGAGAAGCAAACTCGTCAAATCCCCTACGGAAATTTCACCGCGTGATACTAAAGTCCCACCTTGAGAACAAGGTCATCCACTCTCAATCAAGCACATAAATAATTGAACCAGCGTACCATAACCAAGCAGTCCAAGAAGTGTAATATTACCACTCCAGCCGGTACTGCCAAAGAAGATACCGCTGGCAATAGCTTCTTTCCTAGCTAGATCAAGCACCTTCATCACTTTTTCATTGAACTTCTCTTGTTCTTGACGTTGTGCATTGAAAGCCTGAACCGTACGAAGAGCAGGTAATGACTCCGAAGCAACCTTGGTCATTTCACCCATCGCCTCCTGCGTCCTTAATGACAGCTTCTTCAAGTATCGGCCATAGAACACCTGTTCAACCCTTAAACAAAATTTTGACGAAAGCTTGTAAGGTAGAAGCGTACTACACCCAAAGATACGGGGGGAACAAGGACCAACATCAGCATGGTGAGAGTCGGAGAGATGTAGAACATGGCGGCCACTGTTCTTCATGCATGAGTCTTTAAGACGTCAGATACCTACAGCAAAGAGACTTACATCCAACCGATGACATGATTACGGCTCGAAGTCCATCAGAAAGGTTCTGCGTCACGCTTCACGAGAATTAAAGACATCAGCCCCAAAAGATGCAGACTCACCTTTCTCCAACAATACTTGTGTCAACACTGAGTCGGCTGATGACATCACCTTCGCTCTTCTCGATGAATTCGACTTCCTGGCGGACAGAGGCCGCATACATCTGTGTTCGAAGTCTTGCAACGATGCGCTGACCTGCACGAGCAGGATTAGAAACGCGTACGAGACATGGTAGGTTTGACGTACCAGAAATCCTCATAAGCATTGTCCTTGATGCATTGGCAGCGGCCCCTGCTGTGAATAACAATACGAGCAGCCCAGAAGCTTGCCAAATAGACAATCCCATCGGAATTTGCTGGTAAGTGTCAGCGAGGCGTTACACTCTGAATTGTATGGTAACATACCGGATTTATTGACGAGAAGAAATCAATTAGCTTTCCAACCGTGAACGGGATTGACATAGACACAGATGATGACACCAACAATAGGCCTACGGCGAGTGTAAGTGGCCTACGTTCAGGCTTCGCTAACGCCACAATTTTGCGAAAAGAGGACGATGACTGGGAGCTTGCAAACGATGAGGGTAGCACGCGTGATATTATGGGCGACTGTGGTTTTGGCTGGGGAGACCCCGATGTCTGTCGGGTCGAAAAGGTGCGACATCGTAATATCCTCTGCTGTGAGGAGAGAAAGCTGGCGTTACTTCGAAGGGTCGGCAATTGCTGCACCAATAAAGGTCGTCCAAATGATTTTGTCGACGATAGGAAACGCCATGGTCCACTGAGAATCATTTCCCAGTCCAACCCGTAACCGCGTGCTGGCCCGGCCGGTCGTTCGGTCCGCTTTCCTTGCTAAGATAGAGAATGATACGATGTGGAAGCCAGGTCGCTGGGTGTCGCTACACGTCGTGTTCGAGTCGTGGTGGGCGTTGGCAGGAGCAAGGTAGAAGCTTTTCGGCCGGTCAGGACTGACGGGAATTGTCCCACGTCATCCCCGACAATCACGAGTTAGCAGCGGCCCGGGTCTTTCTAGCTTATTCTCTAGCATTGCTCCGACAGACATCTGGTCTGAAGAGTCAAAGTACTCTATTCCATTCTTTTGTAACCAAATCTAACGGTTAGCATACGGCGAACTAACCAATCTACACGATGCTCTCGGGGAGCGTAGCCTGACTTCGGACCGATTCACTTTCCGAGTAGCCGGGAGAAAAAAATTGCTAGAGCAGACGATTGCCTACTCTCAAGCTTGTAGTTTTGGGTCGAACCAATGCTGCTAAAAGTTCACATGGGCGGTCGCCGAGTCTCTTGTCCCATCCTTCAATGGGATCATGCTAACCGTGTGCACATTGATCAATAGTGTTGCTAGGTATCCAGGTTCACATTATCGGTGAGAACTTAGGATGTGATAATCGTCTTTTTCTTGATCTGCCCCCACATTGCGACAAAGAATAGCACGGTTAGCAATATCATTAAGTCGGATAACTTCCCTCACCCGCTGTCGACTATGGCGCAATTAGCCAAGTTCTTAGTTTCAACAGTGGCGCCGTATTCCCCAAATATTACCTGCGTAAGTCCATGAGTGAGCCACGTTATCCTTCGCTGGGCTCAAAAGCTTCTTTGCCGTCGTCTCTCTGAGTCCCCAATGTTCAGGCGATTAGATCTGTCAAACTGATACACTTGCGTGCAATGCTCACGGCAATGTAAGATGTGTTACTACTCTTGACCGGGTTGTTAATTCAGAAAACCAATTCTCATCATCTTCACAAATCAGTCTTACCTTCATCCATATCCACAGAGGAAGTCACCATCTCCAATGCAGGTATGAAGGGATGAGTTTCATCATCACTAGTGATTGACAGATCTGTCAGTGTAGAATGATAGATTCAAAATATCATTATCTGACAAAAGGTCAGGATTGACATCTGAATTCCAAATAGATTCCTCATCACTTCAAGTGACAAAAGCACACTCTACATTCAAATCACTTTCAATGCCTATAGCAGCATTGGTGGTGCTCAATGCTTTGCCACTGCTTTTTTTGCCCTCTTGCCATCTGTCAAGCCTTGTTTTTCAGGCTTGAGGCAGTCCTTCTTCCAATAATCAAGACTTTCACAATTGAAGCAACCACAATTGGTATAATGCCTCTTGAACTTGCTTTTAGCCTTGTCAGATACAACATTGGTGATGATCATACTCTTCTGAAATCATATTTATTAGAAGATCTGAATCAATGTCTTATTTGCAGGAAATAGGAGTGAATAGTAATGTTGTTGTTATCATTGAAGTGACTATGGATGCTATGACTCTCTTGCTAGTCTTAGCTGATCCTACTATATTTGCTGCAAACTCAGCCATTGAGAATGGGAAAGATGAGAGTATAGTTGTGATAATCATTATCATTGATCTCAACACTATAAAGCAATTTTATCTCTCTATGCTTGTAGCTTTTCAAAAAACTGTTATACATTAGCTCCATCAGAGCATTTTGAGGCAAGAAAAGATTGTTGGAGGCTGGTTTGAAGGCTGGTTTGTGCATATACTCCTTTTGCTATATAGTACTTCACAACTTCTGTCCACTGTTCAGTGACAGTAACTGCATGGTGAATCATATATAGAGTGCTATCATGCTGAGACAACAGGAATCAGGAAACAGCTTTATTCTTGTCCTATTGATGAATCTCAGTAGCTTGGTCCTCAGTAATAGATGTGTCATAGCTTGGATGAATAGAAGTATCAGTAAAGTAATTCCACTTGTCTTTTACTGCCACAGCTATTCCAAAGCATATAGCAAAGATAGACTGATTTACTTTATTTGTCTCAAGCTATAGCACAGAGGCAGAAAGGTTTGTAGACTCAGCTGATATGTTCATAATAGTAGACATTGTTTGAGAGTATCAAGATATGAGATATAATTGATCACTTTAAGTTCAAGTAAGAGCAGAGCCTATAATCTGTAAAAATTCCAATAGAAGGAAGATGAAAGCTAATAATACAATAGTAAGTTATAAGTACAGTGGAAATTATTGTAATGCTCACCCTGACTGTGTCAATCAACAGATAAAGTGAGCAACCAATAGCTATAGATACATAAATAATATGATAGATAATTTAAATAGATCATTATTATTAGATCTGCTTGGTATGTGATCCTATATGTTATGATTTTTCCCTTATCTTATCAGGGCACCTATCTTATCTTGAGCATCTATCTGTGGGCATGAGGAAGATGATATAACAGACAGACAGCACTATTGTACTTGGTTGTCTTACCCACAGACAACACTCTATTGTCTACTCTCTGATAATCAGGCAGAACAAGCAGTATAGCACAAGACAGTGCAATAGGCAGAAGTTATATTTATCATGACTCAGACAGTATATAAGTAGGATAGCTCTCACTGTAGTAGTCCAGCTTTGAGCTATAAGTTTATCCTATATTTCTCTTATCTCAAGCTTAACTACTCTAAAGCCTTGATGCATGCTGAATACACAAAAGAGTGGACTCTGATGTGACTGTATGAATATGATACAGTGTCAGTTTATCATGTGTATAGGATCATATGCTGAGCAGATCTAATGGTTAGCTTAAAGCTTTCTGCTTCTCTTTCCTTATGCACACTAGCAGTGAAGGAAACTGAATGCCACCAACTGCAATCTCTGACTTTACTAATGACTTCTTTAAACTTCTAGCCATAATCATAGGAACACTCCTCAGGCTGCTCACTATTGTCTATCTTTGTCAAGAAAGACAGTCTGTAACTGCATGAGTAGTCTGGCATTATCACATATTTAGAATAGCACAGCAAATCATTCAAAATGTCTTACCAATCCTCTTCTTTTATAATATTCCAGAAACCACTCAAAACTCCTACCAGCCTGTGCAAGAAACTGTACTGAAAGCTTAATCTGACAGTATGACTGCAGGAGTTTTTTCACTGAAATAAAAAGAGCACTGATACTCCTCAGGATCCTCTCAACACCTTATCTAAAACAACCTTTCTTGTGACTCATTGAATCTCTCTCCAATCTCAGACTATAAGGATGAAGATCTCTCCAATGACTCTTTTGATACAGAACTGTCTTCCAACTTTTCCACTGTCCTTCTTGAATACAGAGTTGGCAATTATGCTAGAGACTCTCTTGATGCCACTAGGATAGCTATAGGCTTTAGCTACAACTCACTCTATATGTTAGACCTAGCTTGCATATGATCTGAACATGTGATAAACTAGCACTGTATTGTGTTTGTACAGTCACACTAGAGTTCATTTAATGTGTTATACCAGGCAAATACTCCAAGCCAAAAACAAGTTGGGTTTAAAGAAAGATAGTGTGAGATAAACTTATAGCTTGAAGCTAAACTACCACAGTGAGAGCTATTCTATTTATATACTATTTAGCTATGATAAATATAACTGTTTTCCTACTATACTATTCTATACTATACTGCTTGTTTTGTCTGATTATCAGAAGATAGACAATGAGAAATTGTTTAAGAATAAGATGATCAAGTATAATGACATGCACATTATTGTGATTATTTAATCTTTTTCACACTTATAGGTAGATGCTCATAATAAGATAGATGCTCTGATAAGATAAGAAAAAGATGATAAAATAAGAAAAAATCATAATATCACCTCCTTTTTAAGACCATTGTTCCAATAGATCAATTAAGAGTAATTTCATAGTCTCAGATGACATCATCTATATGCATATCCCACTTGTGGATCCACTGGTTCAATTTGGATTCATAACTCTTTCATTTCACTAAATAGTAGACAACCATTCAGGTGCTTTCTCTTCATACATGGACTTTTCATAATTTATAGTTGAGAATTTGTTCCACTTCATAGTGTTCCTCCTTCTTGATCAGGTCAGATTCAGGTGATGGTGGCAGTTGTTGGTTGGATTAGAAAGAGGTTGGTGTATTTATCTGCTAGTTTGCATTTTGGGTGAGGAAGGTAAAGGTTGGTAATGTCTAATCAAACTTTGTCATTGACAGAGTATTTGTATGCTAGGTGACAATGTTTATTATATTGTGTCTTCATTGCAGCAGCAGCTTTTTCAAGGGCAGTGTGTATTTCAGCATGAATAGAAGTCATAAGATCAGTGAAGTTGGAAGATGCAAGTGTTGTCATGATTTTTACCTCTAAATCATAATCAGCCAATGCTTAACATGATGACACTATAGCTATATCTTATTTATCAATACACAATAAGATAACCAGAAACTGTTAAGCCCAAGCGTCACATGAACTGATACACGTGATAAACAGGTGTTCCTTCGCACTTCGAGGAATCACCTGAGTTCACTATATGTATATCTGGATGGTGTGACCCAAGGTCAGATGTAGACTCGAGGTAGAATGGTATGTATAAACTTTAGCTCGAAGCTGGGGTATACCAGTGAGAGCTACCGGTCTTAAATACTGTACAGGTGGTGCTAATAATACGACTACTTATTGTGTCGGTCTGTGTCCATGGTGCCCATTGTCCTTGGGTATCGTTGTCGTACATAAAAGGACCATTGTGCGTTGGCAAGCATCATTGTATCTAGGCAGCTCAGTTGTGCTTACTAAGCCCTTCCTGCGGTCTTGTGCTGAGCGTAAATAGGAGTAAAAGGAAAGAAAAAGGGGAAAAATCGTAACATTACCCCCTCGTTTAAGACCATCGTCCCGATGGTTTAATTACGGGAAAGTTCATAATCATGTATGGCTGTGTCCGCGTTCATGTATTTTTCGTTAACCCACTGGTTAGATTCTGGGCCGTAACCCTTCCAACTGACCAGGTAGTCGACCGTTGTCGTCATCCCGCCCCCCTTCGCTTTGACGCATCGGAGTTTGTGATTTAGGACTTCGTTGATTTCGAAGTGTTCTTCGTCGTCAATTAAGTCTGGCGGTGGAGGGGGTGGTCGTTCCTGGTTAGGAAATGCTGGTGTTATGTACGGGTTCAATAGGGTTTTGTTGAAGACGTCGTGAATTTTCCAGGTGGCAGGTAGGCGTAGCTTATATGCGCCTGGGCCGACGGCTTGGATGACCGTGAATAGTCCTGTGCGTTTGTCGTCAAGTTTCTTTTTGGGACGTGGTAGGTGGAGGTTCGTTGTATCCAACCATACTTTGTCGTTTGGTTGGTATACATGACTGGGCTGTCGGTGTTTGTCGTAGTTTCTTTTCATTGTCGCTGCAGCCTTTTCCAGCGCAACCTTCGTCTCGTTGTGAACTTTTTCCATGTCGGCTGCAAAGTTTGATGAAGCGGGTGTTGTGGTTCGGAGACGATTTGTTTGGGTGATGTGTGGATGATATCCGTGGTTCACGAAGAATGGTGTTTTCCCCGTCGCGGAATGTATTCGGTTGTTATGTTGAAAGGCTGCAAGAGCAAGCCATTCAGTCCAATCATCTTGTCGATAATTGATGAAGAGTCGTAAATATTTTTCAATTTCTTGATTTACCTGTTCTGTTTGCCCGTCTGTTTGCGGGTGATAGGCGGTCGACGCGTTCTGTTTAATGTTTAGAATGCGGTATAGGTCGGTTATGAATTTTGAGACGAATTGAGGACCTCTATCTGAGATGATAATTTGGGGCATTCCGTGCTTGGCGTATACTTCGTCTCGGAGGATCTTGGCCCATCCCTCAGAGTTTAATTCCGTGGAACACGGGATTGGGATGATTGCCTTGGAGAATCGGTCCACTATTACGAGGATTGCATCGTATCCATTACACTCGGGTAGGCCAGTGATCATATTGACCGAAATATGTGTCCAAGGGGTCGACGGCACTTCGTTAGGATGTAGCGGCACTGCTCGAGCCTGTGTGGAGGATTTCCCCCGTTGACAGGCTTCGCAGGCTTTTACGTATGCCGCTACGTCGTTCCCTAGTTTCGGCCACCAGTACTCTCGGAGGACGAGCTCCTTGGTTTTGGCGATGCCCGGGTGCTCTGCCGTTATGTGGTCATGACAGGTGGCGATAATTTCGCTGCGTAGTTGGTGATCCCGGGGAACATAGATGCGTCTGTCATAGTGGATTAGTCCGTCCTCCTTTGTCATCCCTCGTTCATGGTTCAGCGAAGGAGCCACTCTTTGGTCCCATTTGTGACTATCTCGTGTCGCACTTTTGATCCGTTCGTGGATTTCCTCCTCCGTCGGCATTATCATGGCTCGGAAATGCTCTGGCTTTAGCAGCGTTACTCCCTCGTTATCCGTTCCTCCTTGATCATGATCTGCTCGTCGGCTCAACAAGTCAGCTTTCTTGTTGGCTGTTCCTGCCTTATGATGCAGGGTGTACTGATATTGGGTGAGCTCTGTCACCCAACGTGCTTGTCGCCGGTTGAGTTTTTGCAGCTGTCGGAAATATCGTAGGT